TGGATCCAAGTTTCTGGTAGAATTTCAGATGTCTGTGGGCAATGCCCTCTGCTTCTTCCGGAAAAATAACAAATTTTCTTTGTCCATTTGTTTAGGTCAGGTGCTGAAAGCTGTGTACCTTTGGTTAGATCTCTCCCTCCTCTTTGGGTCTTTTTCTGTTGTATCCTCTGAAGGGACCTGATTGGTTTTTGAAAGTCTGGTCCTACCGGTGATGTCCCTCTGTAGTTTACAAAGTACTTCCTCATCTACTGACTAGCTTCTCTCCAGCACTAGAACTGCTTCTATAACTGCTTCTGTGTAGCTAACACTATTTTCTTTCCTGACCCTTAGAGCAGGAAGCCCTGTAACCAGGAGAAAGGCAGGTGGGGTTTAACAAGGGTCACTGCTCCTTGAGCACCTGCTTTGTACAGGCCACCTGTCGAATCCCTTGTATACACACATGTACTTCCCTCCGTGCTCATCACTTTGCAAGGTGTTAACAGCCCTGTTTACAAAAGAGGAAACTGAGAATTTAAGAGCCATAATACCTCTTAGGCTCATGTAGTTAGGAACGGGTAAGTCTATGGTGTGCTGGGGGATCTTGCCCATTCTGGCAGGCCCTTCAGAAAGGGATTGGGGGTCCAGGTGTGTACTGTGCACCCTTCCATGGATCTTCTGCCAGCATCTAGTGCGTACAACAGTTGGAGCCCAAGAGCACTCATCCCCACACCCCAAGTCTGGCTCGCTCAGTTATTACCCTTCTCGTTCTTGCTTCCCAAAAGAAGGCTCAAGCATGGCCCCAGCCTTGCCTTCCCCCGGGAGGAGGCAGGTGGAGGGAAAGCTCTCATTCCCTCACAGTTAACCAAGCCTTGACCCTGAACTCCTCCCTGGTACTCCAGCCAAGTTTCTGTTTCTTTGTTTAAGCAATATCACTTTCACCTTTGTTTACTGCTACAGTGGGGAAGAGATGGCTTGGAGCTCTGGCTTGGGCAGTGCTTTGTGGGCTGCTGGGTTGGGGTGGAGAGGTGAAGAGTAGTGAGAAATCTGGTTGTGGTTAGGACACAGTCTTGAGAAGGTCCTAGGTTTGAATCTGTATGACTTTGGATGAGTCACTCCATGCAATGTTTTCATTTGCAAAATAGTTATGCACCTTACAATGTTGGGCCAATTAAATGAGCTCATATATAGAGAAAGCCCAGCAGGCTGCCTGGCATGTAATAGGTACTCCTATTTGTCACACTAGCTTTCATGCTTTTTCTGGGATAACAGAAGCAGTAGGACTTTGGGATAGGGTTGGTGAGCTTTTCCTAGCTTTATGCTGTAGCCCGAGGGCTAGCATTACACTGGAGTGATAGTTGCTGTTCCTGGTTTTCTTTATTCTTTTTTGTCTCTCTTTCTCTCTCTTAATCTTTTTGAAGCAGAGTTCACTACACAGTTCAGGCTGGCCTTGAATTCACTTTGTATCCCAGACTGACTTCCAACTTGTGGCAGTCCTCCTGCCCCAGCCTCCCTAGTGCTGGGATTGCACCACCATGCCCAGCCTTGCCTGGGGATTTGCTGAGGACCCTTAGCCAAGACTCTTGGCTCCATGCAGGGAGCACAGGGATACAGCTTCTCAGTCTGGCTCTGCTGCCAGCTGCTTGGGTGACCTTGACCATGTTCTTTGCCGTCTAATCTGAGAGGTTATAAAATGAGCCAGTTGGGCTCACTGGCTTTAGGGACCTTCTGTTAGCAGGTGTTTGTCCCTATAAAGCGAAGCACATCTACCCAATTTTCTTCCTCCTGTCTAGTTTGGGAAAATCTCCCCCAGGTGCTGATTCAGGTGCCTAGTAGCCACAGGCCAGGCAGGGTTTCTAGGGTCCAGGCCCAGTGCCTTATTCAACTGGTGATTTCTGTTGTGTGACTATGAACAGGACCAAGGTGCAGGGCAACTGAAGGGCCCCGAGAGGGTGCCTGCGCATGTACATACATGTGAACACACACGTGCCTGGGCAGGGATGGGGTGAACTGAGGAGAACAGACCACAGCCTTAGCCAGGAGCAGGGCGAGGTCCCTCACTGGTCAGGGCTGGGCCTGGCTGCTGGGTGGCCCGGCTTTTCAAAGCCACCCCAGACTGAATGGACCTTGTCTGAAAAGAAGGCAGCGGATAGGGAGGGCTGTTGGTGCTTTCCCAATCCCTCCTAAAAAGAAAAAAAGGCAGTGGCCCACAATCCCGTGGGACTTGGCCCTGTCGTGCTGGCCTCCTTCTAAATGATCCCTGGTCACTTAAGGGCTTTCTTATCAGAGGTCATGGGCAGAGAAGGGGCCAGAAAGGGACAGAGAGGCGCCTCTGGAGCTCATAGAGGATTCAGTTCCCCGTGTCCTGCCTGCGACACTGCTTCCGGTGCCCTGGACTTGCTGTGGGCGGGAGGTCGCCCGCCACCCATCCTTCTTCCCTTTTGGAGCTCTGGGACAAGGGTCTGATCTTGGGCCACCCTGACTCCCTGTGACCCTAAACTAACTTTTTATCTCCCCTGGGACCTGGTGTGGTCAGGGATGATCAGGGGCCCACGAAGAGGGCTGAATGGCAGTCATTTTGGCTTCCTCCGCAGTTCTGGCACTTGTCCTGCCTGCCAGATCAACCTAGCTCTCCTTTCTTGGTCTTCATTTCTCTAATAGAAAATGGAGGTGATTGCTGATACTGATGGGTGTGCTTATCCCACGGGCTGTTTTGAAACACTCCCATAGCACGTTTACTTACCAAAAAGCAGGTTGGCCTCATAAATGACATTCTGTGGCTCCTGGAGATGAGGAAGGTAGGCAAGGTTGTGGGCCATGACACCTAAATTGGAATCCCAGCTTCTGTTAGCCCTGGGCCAGGCAGACTGGGTGGAACCTCAGGCTCTGCCCCGGGACTTTGAACTCTGACACCTACAGCCAGTCTGGTTTCCAGCCAGGTAAACAAGTTAGGAAAGTACCTTTTCTCTCCCACTTGGCTGCATATGATGTACCCATTTTAACAAGGCTCCTTTCTAGGCTGAGATAGGTTGGCAATCTAATGCACACATATGTTCACATATGAGTTCATGTGTAGGAAGCTAAAATCCACCAAGCGGCTCATGTCTGGGTTCTGGCCCAGCATGGCCACTTTCTGCCTCAGTGGCCAGGAGACAAGTGGCTACGTTTCTGAGCAACTCCTTCCCACCTTGGCATAAAGAGCCTCTTAAGAGGACCTGTGTCACACCAAGTGCTTAGTTAAGGGCTGACACTGAGTAAGCTACAGGGGCCTTGCTGTTTGAGATTCTGAGCTCCAGGGGAGTTGTGGCAGGAGATGGGGCTGGGAGCACAGGGACCCCACCCTAGGTGCAGGCACTTGCGCAACTGTGGAGGAGCCTTCTTCCTGCCCAGCCAAACCAAAGCCACAGGCACAGGCTGTGTGGGGGGACTGGAATTCCAGCGCCAGCAGCTCAACAACAGCTCCCAATTCCAGAGTCATGAAGTCATCCCTAACCAGGGCTTAACCCCTTCTGGCTCTCCACCCGCTTGTGTGCCAGGTGCTGTGCAGAGATTCTCCTGGCCCCAGGAGACAGGGGTGCCTACCCCCTGCCTCCTCCCTGCCTGACCCTTTTCCTTGCCGGGCATCCAGCATTCACCCTGTCAGGGTGGAAGAGAGCACGGCCAGGTTCTACCGCCTCTCCCCAGAAATCAGAGGGGAGAGTTCGGGAAGAACCTGGCTTTTGAAATGGGCTTTCCTGGACATCTTATCTCAAGGACAGATGTTCCTTCTCAGAATCCCTGCTGTGTCACGGGCTGTCTCTCCCTAGGTAAAGGACAGCTCTGGGCAGTCAGAATCAGAGCTCTGGCCTCTTTCTACTCGGAGCTGTGTAGCTAACATTCTGTGCCCTTAGGTAACTTGCTAATTATTTGTGTAAGTTCCAAATTCTGTGAAGGGCAGGACAGGACCACCCTGGGGTCTCTAGCTTGTGTTCTGTGGCTCTGAACAGACTCCCCACCTTTTGCAGTTATGCGCTGTAGAGAGATGGTGCTGTCACGTGGGAGTGAGATAGTGAACCTTGCTCAACGTCGTTGGGCGGGCAGAGGGACCCCAGGCCAGAAGCTGGAGGAAGAGTGGTGGGCATCTTGATGCTTCCTGCACCCATTAAGGAGATTTGTTTTCCACTTACCTGGACTAGGGGTAGTCTGCAGGGTCCTGGGAAAGGTCTCTTTGGACCTTGGACAGTTTATTTTTGAAAGCTGCTTAGTAGGGATGGACCTCAGACTGCGACGGTCGGTTTCCACAGCACTGGGGCTGAGCGACCCTTAGGAGTGCTGAGGGCAGGGACTGTGCCTCTCTGTGCTCTCCGTCATGCTAGCAGCAAGACAGATCTGTGGGAGAGGCTTGGAAGGTAAAAACCACAGGAGTGCGCTCCTGAGTCACCAGTTCTGAGTAGTTCCCTGACCTGAGGCTGTCTTGAGGTGGGAGTGAGCCTGTCCGGCCCAGTCTGACTCAGCTGGGAAAGGTGTCTCAGACTGGGCAAGACCAGGACCAGTAGTCCACTCCCTGCCATGTGTGAGTCAGCTGCTACTGCATCACAGGATCCTGGAGTACAGTATCCCCAGGCTGCCTCTGTGCCTGGGAACCACTGGCTCTGAAGCCAGTTATGTGTCCTGTTGTCTGGGCATCTGCCAGCTGTGTCACCAAAGAAAATGCTTTAAAGTCTTAGAAGCCCAGTTTTCTTGGTTGTAAAATAAGTTAACATACCATCAAGAGTTATTAAAAACAGGGTTTGGCAAATAGTAAGTGTTCAGGTAAATGGTACCTAGTAATACTAATAATTTGCTTATTAACACATTTATTATTTTTATCAACTTAGAATAGGAAAGAGACTTTCCTAAGGTCACACAGCAAGAGAGGGCCAGAGCAAGATCCAAGACACAAGTCAGACCCTGGTCTGGTGCCTTGCTGGCGCCTCAAAATCTACTTCTGCCGTTCAGGAGCACTTGGGGGCTACTGGCTGATTCTTTCGCTTCCTTTATTCTAGATCCGAGAGACTGAGGTCATCGACCCCCATAATCTGCTGGAAGGCCGGTACTTCTCTGGAGCTCTGCCTGACGATGAAGATATTGGGGGGCCGGGGCAGGAACCTGATGACTTTGAGCTGTCAGGCTCTGGAGATCTGGGTATGCTGGGCAACTGGGAGCATGGGCTCAGGGGATGGTGTCCATGGAGGAGGGTGACCATGTTAGGGACTTAGATTTGGGGGGATTTCGCTACAGTGCCCTTTCTGGCCTGCAAAAGAAGGAACAAAAGTAACTGGATTAACCATTTCTGTTCCTGAGACTGCCAGGAGCCGGTTGTGTGTTGCTTTGAATTCACTGCAGCTCCGGATTTTCTGGTGCCAGCCTGAACTTGTCCTCATGGGCTCTTCCCTTTGGCAGATGGAAGGGTGGGGTTGGGGTGGGGGTGGGGAAGAAGGACCCATGGAAAAATTCTGCCTCAGAAGTGGGGTAGGTTGGGAGCAGCATGTATAGGCAGAGATGTGAATGGGCCCCTGCTTCAGTGAGGTTAGGAGAGGGGGGAGGGACTGAGACCAGATCAGGGGCCACTGCCTTTCATGATCTTTCACTTCCTGGCTCTGTTCTCTAGGTCAGATAACTGCTGAGAAACCTCTCTCCTGTACTTAGGGACACGTTAATGATTCTGAGTTTGAGTTTTGAAGTCACATAGTCCTGAGTTAAAAACAAAACAGCAACTACCCCCCAAAGAATCATGCTGCCACAGATGGTGACATATGCCTGTAATCCTAGTACTCTGGGAGGCTGAGGCAGGAGGATCGACCATCTTGATTTTGAAGCCAGCCTGAACTACATAGTGAGATCCTGTCTTATATAAGGTCATGAGCTCAAACCTTGACTCTGTCACCTATGAGCTTTGGTTTTCTGACTTACAAAACAGGAATAATAATGACTGTGTATCAGTGTTGTGAGACTGACCTAAGTTCTTGGCAAATATCAAGCACTTAGTAAATGTGTGTGTTTTAAGAATGAACTTTATTCCGTGTACTTAGGGTTTTTTGTTTTGTTTTTTTCTTTTGAGATGGGTCTGGCTGTACAGCTCAGGCTGGAGCTTGAACTCATTATGTCTCAAGCTGGCCTTAAAGTCAGGATGACCCTTCTGGCCTTCTAAGTGCTGGGTTTATAGGCATGCACCACCATGGATGACTCCCTAGACTTGTTTATTTTTTATTTTGAAGCAGAGTCTCACTAAGTTGCTCAGGCTAGTCTCAAACTTGAGATCCTTCTGCTTCAGCCTCCCAAATAGCTGGGATTAGAGGAATATGCTACCTCTTGTGGCTTCAGTAAAGTTTTGATATATAGTATTTAATACTATAGAGGGTTTCTTCTCAAACGTTAATCTTCTGAGGATCTTGTTTAAATATAGATTCTGACTCAGTCACTCTGAAATTCTGCATTTCTAATCTGCTTGCAGATGTTGCTGTTAGACCTAAAATTCACAGTTAATTAACCAGGGGTTGGAGCTGACATAGCACGTCTTTTTTTTTTTTTTTTTTTTTTTTTTTTATCGGTACCAGGGATCGAACTCACGGCCGCACGCTTGCAAGGCAGGCGCTTATGCCGCTGAGCTAAATCCCCAGCCATGTCTCTGTGAAAGTCAAGGAGGCAGGTGTTTCAGAGTAGGTGACTGAGTTTGAGGCGAGAATGTTCATTTGCTGGACGTAGAGCATTTAGAGGCCGGTTATAAGGGAGGACTCCCATCTGCCATGGCTGAGGGCGTCAGTGACAGGGTTCATGGACCTCATGCTCACACAACCACTCTGCTTTTACAGATGATTTGGGAGACTCCAAGACCATCTCTGAAGTGAGCCAATCCTTGGTAAGTATGGCCTGTGCCCTCCATTTTTATGTGGATTCTGGGGTGGGAGAGGGACAGGCACAACTGTGGTTAGGATAAATCACCATCAATACCAGCTCCTTTTCTGTGTACTGATAGCTGTTTCTTAGCACTGATCTCCAGCTGTATACAATTCTGTGTACTGTATCTTCTGTTTACTGTGCTCCTGAGTACTTCCCTGTGTAATTAAATGCCCCTGTCATTTATTTATTTATTTATTTTTGTGGGTACCAGGAATCCAACTCAGGACCTTGAGCTTGCCAAGGAGGTGCTGCACCCCTGAGCTATATCCCTGACCCAGTCCATTCTCTGTCATTTTTAAAGGCTGTGTAGTTGTTCACTTGATTCTTACTGATGGAAAAGGGCTTTTTTTGTTTTTGTTTTTTGGGGGTTTTTGGTACCGGAAGTCAGACTCAGGACCTGCACTGGTCCTGCTGAGCCATATCCAGGCCCCCAGAAAAGTTGTTTATAATTTCTTGCTATCCTAAAATTATTATACTGTGGCAGGTACACAGGTTTAGCTCTGCAGGATAGAATCCCAGAGGCAAACTTAATGTCTCAAAGGGCAGTGTCTAGGGTTTTTGCCCCATTTTGCTCCTAGAAGTGAGCCAATCCTTGGTAAGTATGGCCTATGTCCTCCATTTTTATCTGGATTCCTGGGTTCAATTTGCGACAGGCACAACTGTGGTTGGGGCCCCGCCTCTGTCGAGGTTACTGCCTGCCTATAGTGTGGGAACATCTACCTACCTGTGCCTTTGACCAGATTCATTTCCCATTTGGGACAGATATACTGAAAAAGTCAGGATAGGGATTTTAGTAGCATAATATTTAGAAGTTGGTGTTGCTTCCTGTTCTAGGACCTCGTGATTCAGTCCAGATTCTCTTGAGTGCCGCGTCTCATCCTCTGCCCTGTGTCCATCGGAGACTTACCCAGTGCTTTCTCTCTTTTCTCTTCCCTCCACTCAGATACCTCTAGATAACTACATCCCAGAGCAGGCAGGGCCTGGGAGTTGGGTCCCCACCGAACCCAAAGAACTGGAGGAGAACGAAGTCATCCCCAAGAAGGAGTCACCATTTGAAGGGGAGAAGGATGTGTCCAACAAGGTGTCCATGTCCAGCACTGCCCAGGAAAGCAGCATCTTTGAAAGAACTGAGGTGCTAGCAGGTAAGACGGCTTACTGTGGACAGGCCCCAAACGAAGGAGAGCTCCCATGCTCTGGGGCATTGAAAAACTATGTCCCCCTAAGGGGTGACTCTTGGGAGAAGGAAAAACAGCACATCAAAGGAAATAGCAGTGAATGAGTTAGTTATTCCCTTACCTTAAGCTCTCTCAGCTAAAGCACTTTCACGGCCTGACTTTGGCATCTGAGAGTTAATCATTAAACATTAATTTCACTTAAAAGCCTAGAGTCCCCTTAGAATTAGATTGGCTTCCTTTTCCCCCAGCTCTGTTGCTTAGTAGCCCCATGACCTTGGCTGAGAAGAGTCTTTTGGAACAGTTGTGATTTGGTTTCCTCCCTTGTAAAATGGGTATGCTAGTACCTCCTTGAGTTGGCATAATGACTCCATGAAACATAAAGTATGAAATTATTTTGTAGACTGTAAAAGTCAGTATGAAGCCTTTATGAGAAATTATGTCAGTATGAAACCTTTCCGACTGTTCGGATTATCTGTCATTGAATCTTCATTGTGCCTCAGTAGGAAGGGCACAGGGTATCATCATCTTGGGACAGAATAGGACAGTGAGGCCTAGGGTGGTTAAATATTTGGTTTCAGGTAAGAGCTTTTGAGTGATGTGCTGGTGATGTGAGGGGTTAGTGCTGTCCCAGAGTGGGAGTGTAGGAGTGGCCAAATCAGGATCACCAGCTGGAGCAGATCTCCAAACTCCTCTCTGGAGTTCTAAGGGGTAGGTGTGGTCTTCAAAGCTGGTTATCAGAGCAAGGAAAAGGCTCCCTATATTTTGGAGGGTTTTTTTTTTTTTTTTTTGAGGACGGTTTGTATTTTTTTTATGGGGGATCTCACTATGTAGTTCAGGCTGGCTTTGAACTCACTGTGTAGTCCAGGGTGACCTCGAACTTGTCTCAATCCTCCTGCCTCAGCCTCCTGGCTGCTGGGACATTAGACATATGCCACCACGTCCAGCAGCTTCCTACAGTTTCATGGGCTGTAGCTCAGGGTGGCTGGGAATAAACTGGGTGAGTGAGTGTGTACCCCAGCATGCTGGGCAACTGCTGTCTCCTGGGACCCAGCTAAGCCATCAGCTGTGAGGGGGCTGAGGTAGGGGAAAGGAGCCCTGTGCCACATGTCAGACAAATGGAGAAGGATACTGCGTCTTGCCAGTGAGCTGCCCTTGCAGTGCAGCCCCCGTGTGTGGGCCCAGCTCAGCTCTGACTTTGGCCTCCTGGTACCTATGCCAATCTTTTTTTTTTTTTTTTTTTTTTTTTTGCAGTTTCCCTTCACTTTGTTAGCAGGTGTAGGAGGATGGACCGGCAGAAATAGAGGAGCCCTTCGAGACCATTTAGCCTCAGAGGTTTCACAGTGTTCATGTGGAAATATCCTGGAACTTAACCCCCCTGCCCTTTCTTTCACCAACCACACAGTTTCAGTCTCAGCTGGCATAGTTTAGATCTGTCAGCTGCAGATTTTATCTTTACCAGGTTAGATCTGTTGATTAGGTTTTGCTTTAGCACTAAGGGTTCTTCTGCTGCTTCTAAGGAAAAAAATAGTTTAAAAATCACTGATCTAGTCTGAGCTACTGTTTCTAATCCATGGCAGACTGAGGCCCAGGGGTGCAAGAGAAGAACTAATGCAAGGTTAACCCTTTATTCTCTCTCTCTCTCTTTTTTTTTTTTTTTTTTTTGTGGTACTGGGATTTGAACCCAGGACCTTTTCATTGATCTGCTTGTCTGTCCCTTATAACTTTTTATTTTGAGACAGGGTTTTACCAGTTTGCCCAGAGTGGGCTCAGATTTGTGATACTGCTTCCTCAGCCTCACGGAGTGCTGAGGGTGCATGGATTCAGCACCACACATGGCTTCTTTCCTCTTCCATTTGAGAATTATGTCAGTATGAAACCTTTATGAGAAGACACATTTTCGGCACCTGTGTTAGCAAATGCTTGCTGTATGCCATATGATTTTTGAGTCCTACTTATCTATAGCAACCTAAGTAATGTGTCCCACATTACAAAGCCAGGAAGCAGTGGGGCTGGCCTTTAGGCCCAGGAACAGTGTCAACTTCAGAGACTGTGCCTGGACCTGGAACCTGTGGGGAGTCCCAGCACAGACTGAGGCGTGACAGAAGAGTGGATTGTCAGAGGGAGAGGTGATAGCAACAGGAAGGGGGCTTTTTCCAGCACCGCTGGGAGGCACTTTGTTGATGCTTTCTATAGGATTTTAGCCAAGAAAGAACCTTTCTGAGCTCCTCCGTGCTGCTCCATCCCATTCTGTGCATACATTTGTAAGTGTATGGGGATGGAAAATTAATCTTCTTAGCCTGAGTAAGACCGAATTAGGGGACTCAATCTGCTACAGAAAGGATTCCATGAACCTTGCTTGCCCCTAACAAACAGGAATGAGTCATTCAGGCCACCTGGCATGGGGGACAGAACAGATGCCCACCTCTGCATGGCACTGGCCAGGCACTCCTCAGTGAATCAGGCGAATGCCATTTATTACTGCACTGTGGTGCAGGCCCGTTCAGCGTGCTGGGGACAGAGACAAGCCACAGAGGTTTACAGTTCATGAGTTCTGCGCTGGGCTGGTAGATTATTTACTCTTTAGGACAAACATGAGGAAAGCACTACTGTTCCATTTTGCAGTGAGTAAGACAAGTAACTTGTCTCAAATCACACAGCCAGCAGGTCGGAGAGGTAGGCATGGAAACCAGCCTGTGTCCACATGGGAATGTAAATCAGTGTGTGTGCTTATCCACATTATAACATACTACGTGGGCATTGCTGTGTTCTCTGTGTGCGTAGAAGGTATATGCCAGTCTACAGACACATAGACCTAGGTGGGTGCAGATGTGAACAGAGCTAGAGCGTGTCTCCATTGTAAGGACGGTCTATGGGCGTTTCCGTGGCCTGCTGTTATTCTTACTCCTGACTGGTTGCTAATAAGCTGTTGTGAGCGAGCCTTCCTGGTATTTTGAGAGAGCCTGGACTTTGGACTCACAGCGGATGTGGGTTGAAATAGTGGCTTTTCGACTTTAGCCCTGTGGTCTGCAATGACTTATAGTGCCTGGTGGTGCATTTGTCATAATTGAGGTCACAAGGGCTGCTTTCATGAGCATCTGTCCCCCTGGCACAGGCAGCGTGACGGCGAGGGTGTCTGGCTGTAACAGATCTGACTGGTGGGTGGAAGAGGGCTGCAGCCCGCGTCCCGTGGAGTCGGTCTCACCCTCGCCCTTCTCTCTGTTCCTCTCTAGCTCTGGTCGTGGGCGGCATTATGGGCATCCTTTTTGCCGTTTTCCTGATCCTGCTGCTGGTGTACCGCATGAAGAAGAAGGACGAAGGCAGCTACGACTTGGGCAAGAAACCAATCTACAAAAAAGCCCCCACCAACGAGTTCTACGCATGAAGTTTCCCCGCAGGCTCTGCTTGGACTTCAGTAGGGAGGGAAGCCAAAGGATTGTGAATGGTGGGCATTCAAGTAAGGAGAGGGCACCTTATTACTGACCCGTCAGTGTCTCCAGCTCTGGTCACCTTTTCAGTGTCAGAAGTGACATCATCTTCTACTGTGCTGCCTATCTCTTCCTGATTCTTTGGGCTGGAGTTGCCCTGGGAGTAAAATGGGGTTAAACTTGGCTTTTCTGAAGGCAAGCCATGGATTGGGTCATTGGAAAAATTTCCAGCTTAGAATCTAGGGTGTTTTAGAACCTGTACTGAGCATGACGAGGTGACAGTGCGTGGGTCCTGGCTGGAGGTCTGCCCCGGCTGCCTTCTTCAACACTTTCCAGCCTGTCCCTCTGCCAGGAATCAGGAGAAGGAGCTGGAACTTTCTGTACCCTGCAGTGTACCCAGCCACAGGTACTTGTGATCACACTCTAGGACTCTGATATGTCTTTGGGCCGGGAGGCTGTTTTGAGTGACTTTTGGAAATCAGCCTTTTTTCATTTGGGGAGGGAGGGGAGTGGTACTGAAAGCTCACGCTGAAATGGATTTGTAGATTATTTGTAAATCTGTTTTTCTCTCTTTTTTTTTTTTTTAAAAGGTTCATTCCTCTGTGCAGAGTGTCTCTGCGCAAGTGTGGAGATACAGAGATAGTCTTAACTCTCAGGCATTTCCACGGTACCTGCTAAGTTTGTATTTAACATTTTTGTTCTGTTTTGTTTTGTTTCTTGAAAATGAGAGAAGAGACAGAGATATGATTTTTATTATTTTTTTTTTACTATTTATACTTCAGATAGTACCTCTCTTGTTCCTTTTTTGCTCTCTTTTTTAAGCCCCTTCCCCATTTAAAAAAATACTTCACACTCCCCTGCTCATGACCTTGGTCCTTTCTGATTCATCTGAAAGTAGCTTTTGCTGAAACACAGTTTTGTAGCAGCTCTCAAGATCTAATGTAGAGGATTGTGGGGTGTTTTGTCTTGTAATATATTATTATCTCTTGGTTCTAGAAAAATAGATAAATATATTTTTTCAGGATATAGTATATTTTCAGTTTCATGTTGACTGGGTGGCTGAGTGAGTGAATTTCCGTGTGACTGGGTAGGTTTTTGCCTCTTTTTCTTGCCCAGTTCTTGGTGCCTTCTGATGGGCTGGAATAGTTGCAGGCAGGTGATTTTAACCCTCTCTCGGCCTTCTGCTGGGGCCCTGGGGCAGTGGTGGGGAACCTTTGTCACATGAGCCACAGCGGGCTGTTTTTGTCATCACTGAAAGCTCTGAAAGGTTTGCTGTCACTGTCCTTGGGTTTGCCTTCTTCCCACTCTGGCCATGCTGTCCAGTTACAGTGTCCAGCTCCTCGGTTGCACTGACTGCATTTCCAGTGCCGTTGCCACATGAGGCTCATGGCTTGTTATCTTCCCTGTGGAGAGAACATTTCCACCTATGGGATGCACTGCTCTAGAAAACTGGCTTAGTAAGTAACAGCTCAGCTTGGCTGGAATGACCTTTGCCACCTTTGGGCAAGGGAGAGGACAGGGATGGGGGCTGATGGCTCCTGCTGGGGTGTGCTGTCTGGGACTCCTCCCGTTAGAGAGGAGAGGGTGGGTGGCTTAGCTGGGGTAAGCTGGGTCTTCTGCCCCCACTGGCTGTGGGGAGGGGGATCCTCTCCCTTATTCCACCCAGTGGCTGTTAGCTCCCAAAATGTCCCCAACCCAGGTGCGCAGCTGCCTGGGTTCTCCTCCAGCCCCGGGACCCTTTTCTTCAGGCTGTGTTGGAATGAGCACTTTTTCTGTAGCTGCCTCTCACACTGTTGTCTGTTACTGATTTTTTTTTTTTTTGATAAAAGATAATAAAACCTGGTACTTTCTAGATTGCTCGTTTCTGTCTTTTTATTTTTATTTTTTTTTTTATACAAGGTCTCAATGTGTCATTCAAACTGGCCTTGAACACACTAGGTAGCCCATACTAATCTTTAACTCATAGCAATCCTCCTGCTTCAGCCTCCTGAGTGCTGGGATTACAGATGTGTACCACTATGCCCAGCCTGCCTCTGTCATTTTAAAGTTTGCAACAGGTCCTGCTGTCTGACCTCTGTACCTGTCAAACTCAGTAGAGCATGAGAAAATCTCTCCAAGTGGAGTAGCAGACATAGAAACAGATGCAAGAAGGGAGGGTCAGGCCTGGATGAAGGAAGAAAGTCAGAATGTGCATCCTGGTGGCCTGTATGGTGGCCTGGCATGTTTGCTTCCCCGTTTCGTTTAGGCAGTACCATGTTTAATAAAAATCTTTAAGTTAGCTGCTATCTGTAGACATCAGAGTGCTTCTTGTAAAAATACAGATTCCTCACTTTTCTTCAAGGTGGGGGGAATCACACTTTGGCAACTCAGCTTGCTTGGCAGTAATTGTGTTCTGCGGGGCAGGACGCCTTTGAGATACAGCTTTGCCACACCACAGCCTCTGCTGTTTCTCTCACACTACCTGCTTAGCCCAGGGCTGGCAGGCCCTAAGATCTCCCATAGCACCCGCAGACTCTCAGATCCTCCCGGCAGGCCCGTGGGGAGGTGAGATTCTTTTTATTAAGGGCTACGGAGTTGCCCTTAGCTTGGGTGTGCAGTTGAGCCTTAATTCTAGGTCCTTGGGCATTAGTGGTTTTTCCTTGGCAACTTGTTGCCCACTGCTTTGCTGGCATGGTGGGAAGGGCGCCAAGAGGAGCTGGTAGGCATAGTAAACCCTCGAGCCATGCATTTTGTGTGCCAGGAGCCTATTCTCAATGCTTTCCACCGGAACCTATTAATCATCGCAACTCTGCCAGTAGGTGCCAATTTTACAGGTGGGAAAACTGCATTTAGGAACTGAAATGACTTATTCAAAGCCAGATGGCTTACTGTGGTAGTAAGATTTGAATGTGGGTAGTCAGTCAGACTCTGGAGTCTGCTCATAGCTACCCTGCCCATCAGTGTTACATGGCCTAGGGTCTCTTCAGTGGGGGCTGCTCGGCTGCCGTGGCCCCCTCTTGAGCAGCAAATTAGGTCTCAGATTCCATGTTAGCTTAGCTCCTTCCTGAGGCCCTGTTCTACTTTTGTTTTTCTGAGTCCTTGGAGGTTTGCGTGGGTCCCTAGCATGTACTTTGAGTTACTTCTTGAGCCAGGCCCTCACATCTATCTGTTAGATCAGCACCGTGGCTCTTTAAAGCTCCTTAGCTGCAATGGTTAAGCTCAGTAGCTACGGTGGCTAGTGACAACTGGACTGGATGCTGTCCCAGAAATGTCCGTATTGGCTGGTCTGAGAATGAGATAAGGTATCTGTGTTAGATTTCATCTTCTACCAGCTGTTAGCTTGTGATCTGTCACCCACAGGAAGGTCAGAACCTAGCACACGGTTAAGTGCCCAGTAAATGGCACCCTCCTTGCCTGTTCTATTTTTTGGATAGGGTATTAGTTGCAGAAATCTCTTGTATCTATTGCTGGATAAAATTATCCCCAACCTCAAAGGCTTACAGTGACATTAAATATTTTCCCACTTAGTTTCTGTGAATCAGAAATTCAGGAGCAGCTTAACTGGGTGGTTCTGGCTCTGGGGCTCCTAAGGTTGCGGTCCAGATGTTGCTAGGATTGCAGCCATCTGCAGCCCGATTGGGCTGGAGGATCCATTTCCGAGACGGTGCACTCACATGTCTTGCAATTTGATGCTGGCTGTTGGCAGGAGGCCTCCGTTCTTCCCCTCGTGGATTTATATAGGGCCGAGTCTCCGCGTGACACATCAGCTGACTTCACCCAGAGTCATTGATCCAAAAGAGCTAGGTGAAAACTGCATGCCTTTTAAGACTTAGCTTTGGAAGTCACACATTCTCCTTTCAATAATATCTTTTTTCTGGAGGTACTAGAGATTGAATCCAGACCTTTGCACTGAGCTACATTTTGAGGCAGTCTAAGTTGCCTAGTGTGGGTTTGAACTTGAGATCCTCCTGCCTCAGGCTCCCAGAGTGTTAGGATTACAAGTATGCTCCACCATGCCCAGCTCTTGTAACATCTTACTGGCCACACAAGTCAGCCCCCACTGTGAGAGTCACTTACACAAACGCAGGAATACCAAGAGGCAAGACTCATTGGAAGCCATTTTAAAGATTGTGATCATGGCCCTGTGACTGGTTGACACCTGAGTAGGGTTACTTTATCTGCAGAGCTGGTACAATATTATTTCTGAGAATTGAATGGGAAATCCTAAGTGGATTCTGAACAATAGTGGGCCATTTTTGTAAGCGACCTGCCAATCTGAGCCACAGAGGCACTGATCCCTGCACAGGGAACACAAAGGTCTACAAGCTAAATATTTCCCTGCTAATGATTTAAGACATGGTTTTGGGGGGTAGGCAGAATTATGGGAGGGTCCCCAAGACCCTCCAGCCCCTCCCAAGTGTATATAACATGTATAATTCTCTCCCCTTAAGTGTGGGCAGATCCTGTAGATGATAGGATACCACTACCTTTATAATCAGGTTATATTAGCAAAGGTGAGATTTTTTAGATGTCTTTAGTGTTCCAAATAGATTTTTTTTTTCTTTTAGCAAAAAGGGAGATTATTTTGGGTGGGCCTGATTCCATTAGTTGGCCTTAGAAAAACAAGGTACCATGGCTCCAGGATTCTACAGACCTGGCTGGCACTTTGATTGCAGGCTTGGGAGCCCCAAGTAGACAGCTATGCTGTGCTTGGATCCATGGAAACTTGGGGACAATAGATGTGTGTTGTTGTAACCTGCTACTTTTGTGGTGATTCATTATGCAACACAGAAACTAATATGGGAAAGTCATTTACTTTACTAATAAAGTTCACTCCTCCGCCTCTGAGCCATCAGTTGCCCCATTTGTTGCCCCATCACTTCTGAGCCGAGCATGGTGACATGTACCTGTAATTCCAGCACTAGAGAGGCTGAGGCAGGAGGGTCACTGTGAGTTCCAGACCAGCCTGGGTTACATAGCAAGTTCAAGGTCAGTTTAAATCAGGCAGTAAGACTGTCTCAGGAAAAAAAATGTGCTTCATGAGTACTGACCGTGGCAATTACCTCGGATAAAGTGGTCCCTGTGGGCCAGACACTGTTGAAAGTTCTTTCCATACATTGATTGTTTTACTTCGTAACATTTTATTTAACAAATACTATTATTCACACATATAGAAGTAGAAACTGAGGCACACAGAGGTGAAGTGACTTGAGTTTCCCTGACTAGCACACAGCTTTGTTGACTAAAAAGGCCACCATTAAGCTGCCTTCCCTCACTTTAAGAAAGCCCCTCTAAAAATAAGGTATGGGTTAGGCATGCAAGAAGGGAATATAACATGAATATGTATGAACGGGCTGGATGTGGCGGTGCACACCTGTAATCCCAGCCCCGTGGGAGGTTGAGGAAGGGGATCCCAAGTTCAAGCCCAGCAACTTAGTGCCTAAGTGAGACGCTGTCTCAAAATAAAAATATAAGGGCCGTGGATGTGTCTCAGTGTTAAGGCCCGGAGTCCAATCCCCAGTGTAAATCCCTAAGTGGATGTGGTACACGTTTGCCAGGACAAACCAAGAGCAAAACCACATTACTCCTCCCCAGGATGAGGAGCTGATGGTGCGCCTAGAGACACCAACCAGGGCTGGGCTGCGGCGGGTCTTAGTTCAGACAGGGCTCGAGGAGGAGTTTGGGGGGATGGCCCCACTCCAGGACATTTCAACCAGGGTGAGTGCCTGAGAACTTGGTCACAAGACTGCCTTTTCCCCTTTGCCTGCACTCCAAGCTGCCCTGTGCCATGGCAAACCGCCAGCGGTGCCAGGTGTTTGCCACCTTTCCTGCTGGAAGTGTTATTATACCACCTGCCCTGCCTTTGTCCCTTGGAGCCTGGAACCCAGCCGGCTCTGGCTAGGGCATCTTTTTATGTGTTTGTGTGCATGCTCAGGGTTGGCCCTAGCCAAGACCTCGGTGACATCTCATTGGTTTCACTTCCCTTAAAGCTACTTCCTCTCACCTTTGTCCTCTTCATGGTCCATGTCTTCAAAGTCTGCATCCTCCCCAGGGAGGAAGTCGTCTGAGAAGTTTTACCCGCACCTTAGTTATAACTGGTTTTTATTTGCAGAAAACCTCACTGCCCCCCCCACCACCACATACACACAGACCAAGAACCTCCAAGGTCATTACTTAAACCAGGATACTAGTTTGTTCCCTGTGCTCTCTGGTAGCACAAGATAGTAACGGGAAGATTTGGGAACAGAGCTTTTGATCTTACCCTCATTACTGTGTCAGGTGTGCAGAATTCAAATCAAGGACAGGTTGTGCCAACAACCTGCTGTGACCCTGACCTCTATTCTGAGGGCCTCAGTGTCCCCATCTGCAAAACAGGAGGCTGGGTGTGGTGGCACACACCTGTAATCCCAGCACTCAGGAGGCTGAGGCAAGAAGATAAGCTTGAGTTCAAAGTAGACCAGCCTGGGCTACATAGTGAGTTGAAGGCCAGCCTGAACTGCTCAAGGAGACCTGTCTCAATCAATCGTCAACCAATCAAATAAATTTAAAAATTTTTTTGAATGTGGACTGGAGCAATGATTCTCAAGCCTAGCTGCTCACAGGGATCACATGGGAGAGTTTACCAACAGCACAGCTGCTCAGGCTCCCGCTGAGAAATTTCAATCCAATTGATCTGTGGAGTGGCCTGGATAGCTAATTTTTACAGCTTGGTAGCTGATTAATATGGAAAAAGACTAAATGCACAAAAAAAGTTTTCAAGTGTTTGGAAATTCTTGGGAGTGCAGTATTCAGAATTGTGTGCATAAAACCCCAAGATTCCCAAGAACAGGAAAAAGTTGAGCTTATCAAGGTCCCCAACAGTGTCTATAAAACAAGCTCAGTGCTTTAGAGGGGGAACAGTGCCACCTGATGGTTACACTTTGCACATGCACTGTCCAAATTATTGGCCAATTCAGTTATTTAATGAGAACAAACTCAATGTGCAAGACACTGCAGTCTGTCCTCCCGGACACACAGAGATAAAATCCCCTTTCCACATGAAGCTTACAATCTAGAGGGGAAACAGACACATACATAAAGTTCCTTGACCCAAGCCATGAGGTCACATGATGGAATACAAGACGGAAGCCTGGCAGCAGGGCCAGCTTTAGGGATGATGAACTGTGTTAAGAAGGGCTTTGACTTGACTTCATCATCTCTCATCTTGTCTGAAAATTATCTGAACAGGAGTCATATATTTTCATTTTGCACTAGGCTGGTACAGGCAGCTGGAGCCCATGATTCTGTGTCCCTGATTCCCACAGACATCCAACCTGGGGCTGGAGACAGCACAGTAATGGAGTGGAAGACACATGCTTTAGTGTGAAGGACAGATAGAGTCCTCAGGCCTTGGTGGGGAGTTCAGACAGGAGTAAGGAGGATCTCTAAGGACAGCCCCGCAAGCCAGAACTCAGGAGACAGGGAAGGGCTGGAGCTTCGAGAGTCACAGACTTCCAGGGGGTAGCCAGGTGGGATCAGGAGTCATCAGGATGCCTGAGAGCATTGAGGAAGACAGAACTGTGAAGCCCTTGAAGCCAGCTGCCCGTGTGGTGCACTGTGAAACTTCTCAGCTTCCTTCCTGCTTCCGCACCACCAAGGACCAGCGAGGCAAACCCTCCTGAGGCAGGGACTCATTTGGGGGTTTTCCCATTCACTATGTTCCCACCATTCCTCAGCCAGGATTCACCATGGGCCACATGGGCTTTAAGCAAGCATCTCTCCTGCTGCTCATTGTGGGGTGGGGGGAGCGGGGTGGGTGGGGGGTTCAGACTGCCAAGACTGGAGAGTTTAAAGAGTAAGGGCTGTTGGGAAACATGGCCTGGTAATTTTTTGCTTTTAGCTGCTTCTGAAATCTTATGGGACTTCCCACTTCTGGGGAAGGCATTGTACAGGAAGGGGGTGCTTCCTCCAAGGTCACAGAAGGGCTCAGAGGCTTGAACCCTAAACCCACATTTCAGACAAGTTTGCTCTATCAGGGGCTGTACAGGGAACTGGAGCCCATGATATCTGTGTCCTTGAGTCCCATAGACCATGCAAGGAGCCTGTTTGAAGTTTCTTTATCTTTTCTTCTTCCATAGAAAGCACAAAGAAGGCACAGTGTAGGCAGGCCCATCAGGGAAAGCCTGAGGTTCAGTCTGCTGGCTCCAAGCAGGGGAGCCCCTCTTTCTGATGCATTTTACCCGGTTATCCCAAAGTTCTGCCTGGGTTCCCCTAGGATCCTCGTTCTGTAGCTCCCATGTTTGTCTCTGGGCTTATGGTAGCTCTTCAAGGGGGGATATAGGTCTCTGGAGGACAAATACTCCAGGTTTGGTTTCTTGGAGTGTGCCATATTGTGTAAAAGACAGGGAGAACTAGACAGAGATGGGGGCAGGAACACATAGACCCAACCGGGAAGTTACCAAGGTAGAGTTCAGTTGAATGATTGAGAGGCAGTGAGACGAAGTGGACAAGGAGAACCACACACATTTTGAACACAGGGCGTCTTCCAGGTTGTGTCTTTTGTCTGTTTGTTTTTGTCTTTGTCCTGGGGATTGAACTCACAACCTTATGCTTGCCAGGCAGGCATGTGGTGTCTTCTTAAGCCCCGTGTAAGACGAGGTTTCTTTGGGGAGCCTCTTTCTGCCCTTTCATAATGGAGGGGGAAGACAGCAGGGGGCGGCCCAATGAAGCCGCCCCGCCCCGCCTGCGGGGCAGCCGGCAGCTCCTAGGTCTGCATGAAGAGGTGGAAGTTGGTTCGCGTGAACTCGTGGTGGATGCTCTCCAGAAGCGCATCGGCGTCATCAGCGGGCTTCGGCGCGCTGGGCGGGCCCGGCCTGGCGCTGTATTCCGGGGTGTAGGTGAAGGAGAAGGCGCTGGGGTAGAAGAGCCCGTCGGCGCGCACCAGGCTCACCGGCACGGTGATGGGCGTGCGCAGCCAGCGCCAGTCGCTGCCGAAGGCCGCCACGTCGGGCACCACGCACACCAGGGAGCACGGGCTCCTGGGGTGGGGCATGGAGGTTGGAGCTGCAGGGACTGTCGTGACTCGTCCCCTGCTCCAGGGAACCTCAGATTGCCCCCCGCGCCCCATACCTGTACATGGTCTCTGCCTCCACGTCCCCGAACCACACCTTGAGCCCCGCGTGGAAGTTCTCCCCGTGCAGCTCCAGCGTTGCCACGTCGCCCCCGCCGCTCAGCTGGGGGAGGGTGGGGCCAGGTGGGGCGGGGAAGGGGGACCAGGAGGCGGCGGACTGGCTCCCTCACCCCGCACCCCACGCCCGCCAGCGCCCCCTAGCGCCAGGTTCACCTCTAGGGTGCCGATGATGGGCACTGGCGTGACCGGCTCCCGCGTGCACGCCAGACTGGTGCTGAAGGAGAACTCCACGGACTCGGTGCCGATGATGGTCCAGCAGGAGCTGTCGTTGAGCAGCTCCCTGTTCGCCTCCTTGGGACAGGGAGAGGCCTGGGAGAGGATCTGAGGGTGGGGCTGCGGCCTCCCTGGCGGGCAGCAGTGCACAGTGCTCAGGCTTCCCCATCAGGCCCACATGAGGTTCCGTCCTAGGCTCTGCGACAGAGCTTGGACCAGACTTTTAAATTCTCTCACCAAGAGAGCAGAATAAGCTCCCTGGACCTGCTGCTTGCCCCCCCCCCCCCGCGCCCCTTTGGAGCTGGTGACTGAAGGCAAGGCCACTCACATTAGTGTACCCCCAGCCCTTTTCACAAGGTCTCACTATGTTACCCAAACTGGTCTTCAACTTGGGTCAGCCTCGTAGGTAATTGGAATTACCAGGTGTGCCCCTGCCCCAGCCCGTGTGGTTTCTCTAATGGGCTTCTTTTCCCAGGTTTCTAGAATTTTATTTTTTTTAATTTGTGCAATTCTTTGCCCTACCATTCTACAGCTTTAATATTCATTGAAAAGGAATATTGCCCAATGATAATAATAATTGTTGCTTTCTACATCTTATGGTCCTATCGCCTAACATGCTTAATAGTAATCTTTTGACAGCTTGCTTAATAATAATTCTTATCTTGCACATTTTACAATTCTCTACCTCAGTATTCTATCATGCTAATGGGCTTCCTTCAATAATACTTAAAACTATCACCCATTCCAATTTTTATCTGCATTCTACAATTTTATATCCCAACAGCGTATGATTCTAAGCTTCTTTGGAGATGAAGCTGATTATTGCTTAATAATAACATTTATTATTTTCTACATTTTTGTCCCAATAGTCCACGATTCTGACCTCCCACAGTAGGCAGTGTTGCTCAGTAAGCAGCAATCACCATGGCAACGGTTTTACATTCTGTGGCTCTCTACCTTTTGGGATGCTTGGTGCTGGTAGACCCTGCTCACCTGGAATTGCACCACCTTCTCTGTGGCAAGGCATAAATAGGTGCCACCCCCTCCTGGAGGTCCACCTGGAAATTGGAAGGCACACTTGTGCAGCTGGGAGATAGGCTCGTCCACATCAAGGAGTGCACACTGTTTGGCTACTTTGCGGATGATCTGCAACAGAAGGGTGGCAGGAAGCACAGTGCCATGGTGCCTGGGTGCCCTGAAGCTGCCTTCCCAGCCAGTCTCAGCTACTCCGATAGCCATGTGGACACAAGAAGAGTCCTAGGAATCACCAAGTATCCCCAGAGGGAGAACAGCTGTCTTCAGGCTTTGGGGCCTCGCCTTCCAGCCCTGTGCACATGGGTCACACCCTTTGCAGGGATCTAGGGGGAGCCCTGCAGGTGTGCTGTCCCTGCTCATACCATAGGAGGTAGTGTGATGCCCGTGACTGTGCAGACAAGCTGCACCAGGGAGCCATATCGGACGTAGCCCTCTCGAGGTGGGAAGTCCCCTTGAGAGCAGTGTCCGTCAGCTGGGGTGAAGGAGAGAAACAGATAAAGGTTTTAAGAGCCCCATCTTCTGCCCTCAACCCTGCCTTCTTTTGGCTTCATCTCACACCATGAATAGGCCTTGTGGGAAAGACCAGCCCTCTGGGACACATTAGGGCTTTCTGATGGGGAGACAGGTTGTGAGGCACCGTGCTCACAGATGTCTGCCTCCTGGGGAAGATGCTTGGTATAAGGGGAAAGCGCAGGGACACTGGGATCAGAATAGCTGGGTCACTCACTTTCTCGCTGGGATTGTGGGTGAGTCTTAGTTTTTGAGCTCAGCTACAGGGGTGAGTTGACCTTTCTCGGGGAGCTGGGAGAGGAGCAAATAAGCTGACCCATGTGGAGTGGCCCACCGTGCCTGCTGGGGTCATTACCCAGGTGGAGCGTGAAGGCAGCCCACTGTCTGGCGCTGGCCACAAAGGCCCCGTCCTCCACAGAGAGGTAGCGAGTGGACACCATCTGGGAGCGCAGGCGGTTGAAGAGGGAGACCTTTGAGCCCGATGATATGCACACTGCGAGAGAAGGAGGAATCAGGGCCCTGGCTCGGGACACGGGCTCCCGGACAATCTTGCGTCCTCTGTGCTATGCCCCAGTCTGGTTTGTGTGGACCGCTGGATGCTCATATCTCCCAGCTGCTTATTTGGTGCTGTTGTCCTGCTTCTGTGCCTTGCCTGCTACTGCACGCTGCTTGAGCTACTTTGGGGCAGGCATCACGCTAGGCACTGATGTGTGAGTTAGGCCTACCGTGCTCTGGAAGAGACTGCAGTTTCAGGTATGTAAATCTAAACTGCCAGTTTGAAGTGATGAGGGTTGCAATAAGGAGGCCTTCTTGGAAGAAGTTACACTCAGAGGGGATCATGAAGCAGGCAGGAGTTGTTTGGGGGATGCTGTAGCAAAGCCATGTCGTGTGAAACAGCTGTGCATTGTTTGAGGAGCTTATCATTTATCTGTTCTGGCTTCAAACATTGTACACTCAAAGCTACTGCTTTACTTTTTTTTTTTTTTTTTTTTTTTTTTGTCTTTTTCCTTTTTATCGGTACCGGGGATCGAACTCACGCTGCCTGCTTCCAAGAGAGGCGCTTATGCCGCTGAGCTAAACCTCCAGCCCCTGCTTTACTTTCTTATTGCGCTTTGGCCACTTATGGAGATGGCAATGGACGGGTTATTGTCCTCTCTTCTCTTACAGTGTTGGATGCACTGTAGGTGCTCATTTATACTTACTTGAAGTCCCTGTCCACTGAATAGTAGCTAGCACTTACTGTGTGCCAGGTACTTTTCTAAATGCTTTATGCATATTTTGTCCTTTAATTCTCTCAACAACCCTATAAGGTAGACAAAATTATTTCCACTTAAGAGAGCAACCTGTGCCTGGCACGGTGGTCCACACTTGTAATCCCAGCACTCTGGGAGGCCGAGGCAGGGGGATTGCAAGTTGAAGCCCAGACTGGGCAACTTAGTGACTTAGAGAGATCTTGTTTCAAAATAAAAAATAAAAGGGTGGAGATGTAGTTCAGTGCAGTCTCTGGGTTCAATTTCCAGTACTAGCCAGGGGAAAAAAGTTCAACCTTCTAAAGGTCACACAGCTACCAAGTTGTAGAGCAGGATTCAAATATTGGGCTCCAAAATATTTGCTCAGTGTCACACTGTGCCCTACTCTTGCCCGGCCCCTCCCTGGTACCAAGGGCCAGCCCTTACACTCTTTGGGTCTGGAATACTTCCCAGGCTTTGCAACAGACAGAAAGTGTGGCCGGGTATGGTGACTCATGCCTTTAATTATAGCATTTAAGAAGCTAAGGCAAGAGGATTGCTGTGAGTTTCAGGCCAGCCAAGGCTACACAGAGAGTTCAAATCCAGCCTGAACTACACAGCAAGACCCTGTCTCAAAAAATAAAGTACATGTGGTACGGAGTAGGAGCCAGGCTCTGGAGTCACCCTGACTCAAGGAATTTCCTGGCTTGGCCGCATCCCAGGTGGGCAGTCTTGGGCAGGTCACCTGGAATGTGATAGGTCCTACTTTTTCTTATGTGAATGAACATTTAAAATCTCAATTTTCCCCATCTACCTACCACATAGGGACAATAATACTACCTACCTCAGAGGGTAGAAGAGACTTTCGCTAAGAAAGTCCCTTCCAGGCTGGGGATTTAGCTCAGCGGCATAAGCACCTGCCTTGCAAGCAGGTGGTTGTGAGTTCAATCCCTGGTACTGATAAAAAAAAAAACTGCAAAAAAAAAAAAAAAAGAAAGTCCCTTCCCACCCTGTCTCCTTGCCTTCTAGTGAGGGGCTGTTGGTGTTATCATTGTTCCTGAGCCCTCCTCCCCCATGATTGACATCCAGAATACTACTTATCTCAAATGACTTCTTTAATCTGCAATGTGTATCTTCCCTGATAGGCTATACCTTCCTCTAGAACAGACATCTGCTATTATTTATGTATTTATTGGGTTTTGGGGGTTTGTTTTGTTTTGGTTTGGTTTTTTTTAAGACCCAGTCTTGGCTGGCCTTGGTCACGGCTGGCCTTGAACTTACTATGTAGCCCAGGCTGGCCTCAAACTGTGGCAACCCTCCTGCATCAGCCTCCTGAGTACTGTGATACAGCGCCGTCATGCCTGGCAGCATTATTTCTATTATTATTATTATTACTACTACTATTATTAGAGTGATGCTGGGGAATCCAGGGCCTCGTGCAAGCTAAGACAAGTGTTCTGCTACTGAGTTACTTGCTAGGTCCTGCTCTTATTTTATGGAGATCCAGCGTCTAGCACTGAGCCAGGCATACAACAAGGAGTCTATTTAAACGGAATTCCTTCTGCTCTTTACGGTCATTTTGGTTTCCTGGGCCTGGAGGTTGAACGCAGCGTCCAACCTCTGCTAAGCACTTGCTTTACCACTAAGCCTCACTCTCAGCCCATCCCCCATTATCGTCCCTCACTTCACCATCCAGTTTCTGCGTCCCTTTCCTGGCTTTTGCTCCCTTCTTGTGTGTCCCATCGCACCCACTCAGACCCACTCCTCTTTGGGTTCAGACTCTGCCTCTCACTCCGACCCCACCCCTAGGCTCCAGCTCCAGGTTTCAATGGCCCCGCCCCGCCCGCACAGGGTCCTGCATTGGTCCAGCCCCCCCCCCCTTTTTACATCCCCCTAAATCCCCTCCCCCCACCAGCTCACGGTCGGTGTTTTTCAGCGACTGCTTTTTCTGCGAGGGCTTCGAGATGACCTTGATGAGGCGGCTGTGGAAGGTGCCCAGCTCCAGGCCCCCTCGCAGCACCAGGCGGAGCACCAGTCGGAAGTGCTTCCTCTTGTCCGCGTCCGAGATGTACAGAGTCTTGGCACAACCGAATTCCTAGCGGGCTCGCGGGGACGGGCCCGTCTCATCCCAGGCCTCAGCTCGCAGAGGACCCAACCTCCCCAACGTCCGCCCCGTCGAGGGCGGAGACGCTCCTGCAAGCCTGGTCTCGGGCTCAGCCTCAAGGCACAGCCTGGCCTCCCCGCGTCTCTTGACCTCTAGAGGAGACTAGGGGGAGCCCCAGCTCCAAGGAAGAGGCAGGGTTGGGAGCAAGAACCGGGCCTTCTCCCATGCTCGCTCACCCTGGAGTCCGGCTGCTCCTCGAAATTCAACTTCTGCGTCTCGGCAGCGCTGCCGGACGCGCCGTCCAGCCCCATGTAACCGCAGACGGTGACCCCGGTCTCCCCTGCCTGGAGGGCTGCAAAGGGCGCGAGCTGGCTCGGGGATGGGGAGGCTCAGGCGCCGAGCAAGCTGAGCGGTCACCGGCAGGGGGCGCAGCGAGACTGAGCCCACCAGCCGCCCGGCCTCTCCCGGCTCCTCCCCTCAGAGGTCCACGGCCAGCAGGCCTAGGAGCTGCCTCACCTTGGCCCTGCACTGGCTTCACCCTCCATCCGGGACCGGTGAGGTAGACACAGGGTGGGGGGCAGAAGAACCTGGGGAGACGTGCGAGGGCTGGGTTCAAATGTCCATTGCCACTTAGCTATCTCGCAAGCTTCTCGAGGTTAGCATAAAATCCACGCAACCCTTGATTCCTCTCCCTCTTACCTCTAGATACATCCATGACTGTGACCCCGGTAACATCCAGACTTTCATATTTTTATACTTATCAGTAAGTCCTGTCTACTCCACCTTCAAAACGATCTGAAACCATTGGTTGTGTAACCTAGTGTGCATGTGTGTGTGTGCGTGTGTGCGTGCGCATGCGTGTGTGTGTGCGTGCGTGTGCGTGTGTGTGTGTGTGTGTGTGTGTGTGTGTGTGTGTGCGTGTGTGTGTGTGTGTGTGTGTGTGTGTGTGTGTGTGTTATTGGGGATTGCAATCAGGGGCGCTCTAACTTTGAGCTACAGCTACAGCCCTTTTTATTTATTTCAAGATTGGCTCCCATTAAATTGCCCAGGCTGGCCTTGAACTTTCGATTCTTCTGCCTAGCTCCCAAGGAGCTGGGATTACAGACCTGTGCCACCGCCTGGCCTAACCATTCCTTTTACAACTGTATCACCTCTCAGCGGGTCTCCCCGTGGCTGCTCCACCCCTTTCTAATTTGTTTTTCATAAAGCAGCGAAAGTTGTTTTAAAAAATGAGTCAAGGGGCTGGGGATTTAGCTCAGCGGCCTTGCAAGCAGTCGGTCGTGAGTTCAATCCCCGGTACCGATAAAAAGGAAAAAGACAAAAAAAAAAAAAAAAAGAGTCAAATTGTATTATGTCTCTTCTTGAAATTCTTCTGTAGTTTAAGATTCCAGTTCTTAATATATTTAATTCTCCAGTTTGTTTCTTATAACTTGTTTCTCCTCCTCTAATTCTAGTCACATTTACTTCTTTTGCAACTAAACAGGCCTAGCCAGCACAGGTCAAAGTCTTTGCTTTTTTTTTTTTTTTTTTTTTTTTTTTGTCCTTTCTAGTTGGACATCCTTGTCCTAGATTTTTTTTTTAATGTCCAGCTCCATCTACCATTGAAGTCTCAGTTCAAAGCATTTGCTTTACCACTGAGTTACATTCTCAGCTCTCAAGTCTCAGTTCAGATGTCACTTCTAAAAAGGCTCTTTGACCTCCCAGACATATCAAGCTAAAGTACTCCACCTCTCTGGCTTATATCACATTACCCTGTTCTCTTTCCTTCCAGCTCGCATCATCCTCTGAAAAAAACCTCTTTTGCTGATAGGAGTTACTGTCTGCCTCATCCATGGTACAGTAAAAATGCCGCGAGAGCAGGGACTCTGTCTGTCCGTATGCCCAGGGCCCAGCAGTGACCACAGAGCCCAGCACGTGGTAAGCCCCCAGTAAATAGCTGAATGAATGAATAATGGACAAGGGAATGTATGAAGACAAGAGAACCCCAAGGAGCTTCTGCCAAAGACCAAAGTAGGGGCTGGCGTTGGCTGAGGAACAGGTCCCCTGCCTGGTCAGCCAACAGCTCTCAGCTCTGAGGCCTCGGAAGAGGAGGGCAGATGGATACACGGGCTGAAGGTAGGACAGCCCCGGAGGCAATGCTGAGCACCTACCGCTTCTCATTTCCGTAGGACTTCTGGGCCACCTTGGCGTGCAGGATCCGCACAGTCTGCTGGCACCGCTGCTGCAGGCAGCTGCGCACTCCTTCCCTCAGTGCGGGGGTGCACTCTGGGGATGAGCTGGGCACGGGGCGGGCAGCTCAGGGTGAGTCAAGGGTGGAGGTTGCAGAGAGCCCCAGCTCAGATTGAGTGAAAGGAAGCAGCGGGAGGGGCAGCTCTGCATTCTGCCTCCCCCAGGGTTAGGCGAAGGACGGGACTGAATATTTGGGCTTTGAGGTGTTGCCTGAAGCCTGCACAGAGCCCACTAGGTCCACCCAGGTGCCATTCTCTGGCTCTGGCTTTCTGCCCATGCAGTCTGGACAGTGGTGATACAAAGGCTGCACCTGTGTTGGCCCTGGGACGGAGAGTTAGAAATTGGTATTAAACTTCCTGGTTTTAGGGAAATGCCAAGGGCAAACAACCTTCACTGGATTCAGGCCCCGGGGGCTCTCACCTCCTGTGGGCAGAGGCCTACAAACATGAAAGGATCCCTAAGCCAAGTCCCAAGGATGGGGAACATCTAAGTTTTTCCAGGGCCAAAGCAACACTTCTCTGTTGGAGAAGAAGAGGCCTGTTGCTGGGTGGGCTTTCTTTCTTTCTTTTTTCTTTAAGACAAGGTCTTGCTATGTACTTCATGCTGGCCTTGAACTCACTATGTAGCCCAGGCGGGCCTCCTGCCTCAGCTTCCTGAGTGCTGGGATTACAGGTGTGCGAAATTTCCCATGCCTGGCAAAGGATGGGCTTTCTTCGATTACAGGGAATCATTACATTGACCCCTCAGAGGTACCGCGTGGTCAGAGTCTCTACATCTGGTGACTTCTCAGCCTGGGGATTTTGATGGGGAAAGGTGGGTGTGCACAAAGCCTGCACAGTTTCGGAGACCGTGCAAAGGAGGATTTGTGGCATAGATTTGTGGAATTAGTAGGTTGGAGCCTGAGGAAAGCTGTGATCCCCCCCCCCCCCCGTGTCCTTTGAAGCCCTATATACTTTTGGCAGGACCCCAGTCCCAGCCTCTCTTCCCTCCTGGAGTGGACATTGTAGTCAGGCGGGCCCTCGAAAGCCGGCCAGACCCTGTGGACAGCCAAAGCAGGACTGCCCCGCCTCCTGGGGCTCTCCTCAGGGGCAGTGTCGCCGCCTTTTCTCCCACTGTAGCCGGATTCTGGCCCCGCAGCTCACGGTCTGCAGCTCCAAGGGTGGCAGGAGCTGGGGGCGCCGCGCTTGCTCCGCCCCGGTCTTCAGAGGAAGGGGGATCGCTCCCCGCCAGGGGGAGGGGTCGCGGCCCGCGTTCCCCTCCCCATCGCCAGCCCTGGGTTAAATGCGGCCGCCGCCTCTGCTTGCTCCAGCTGTCTGGCAGTCCCCACCTAGGGCACGCTGCCCACCCCGTTACCTGGTCCAACTGCCCGGGAGGCTCTGCCCGTCTGCTCTGCTCTGCAGCCGCGCCTCCGACCTGTCCTGCAGGCTCAGGTGAGTCAAAGGGCCTGGGGGTGCTGAGGAGTCTGCAGGTGGGCAGGCGACAAGCCCCACCAGAGGTCTATTTACTGCAGAAGCAACACCTCTGGTGGCCTCAACTGATGGCAGTTCCCTTTTCCTCTTCTGTGGGGTCCTTCCCAGATAGAACCCCTGGCAAAAGCGGGGCTTTTCCCCTAAACTTCTTCCAGGCCTCAGGCACTTCCCCAAGGTGTTCATTCTTGGGTCAACTCTGCCCCCCTCTCAGTCCACTTTGCCTAACCAAAGAGCATTGCAAACTTTCTATTTAACCCAAGGGTTTACTTCTGTAGAGTCTGGGGCTCTAGGCTCAGCCAGGGCCACCCCGCTGAGTGAAGACCCATTACCTGCTCTGGACCTGGCTCCTTCTGTAAACTGAAAGGGCAGGAATGGTGGCAGAGTTCGCCTATGAACTTTCTAGGATTCCCAGGATGAAGCAGAGACTCAAGTAGGTGTTGATTTAGGTCAGGAGCAGGATATGGGGGGCCTTAATCAGTATTAGGGAGCCCAATGGCTTTTGCCAGAAAGGGGTAAGGCATGGCAAAGGCCCCTTCCACCTTTAACCCGTGTGCTATCCCAGGGCGCTGGCCCAGGCTGTGGCCCAAGGTAGGGAAAGCATTTGGTGCAGGTCCACCTCCACCAGCAGCGGGCACATCTGGCTTAGTCACCCTCCCACGACAGGCCCTGCCAGAGGGATTTTTGTTCCTTTCCTAGGAGGAAGGAGAAGGGGGAGAAAAATCCTGGACAGGAAGCCTGCCTGGGGCGAGCGACAGGCAGGGCCTTACTCAGAATAGGCTCATTCACGGAACTGGGGGGCAGGGCGGGGCTGTGGTGGGTTAGGGGAGGCTGGCTCTGCCAAGAAACAGCAACAGAAAAATGGTAACAGCCTCAACCCAGGGCCCGGGGAGTAGACTAGCAAATGGAAGGAAAAGAGGCTTAGTGACTCCTGTTAGGAACCAGAAAGCCAGGCAGCTCAGGAGGGAGAAGGCGCCCCAGGAGTCTCAAATTCTAGTGGCCTGACTTTTTGGGCCTTCACTTTCCCATCTGTACAATGGGGGACCTTCTGTCATACGCAAGGGACATCGCAAGGGTCTGCAGGAGGGTGAATGCTCACCTGCTGCCCTGCCAGGGTCCATGGCCGCTCTGGGAGGCCTTGGGCACTTGCTCACCACCCTCTGGGCGCGTCCAATGCCACCGTCTTGGGCACCCTGCGCACCTCAGCACCCCGACCTGCGCTTGGATATATGCTGGACAGACCTTATCTCCAAGGCCCTGGGGCTCCCAGCCCCCTGTTTGCTCTGGGCAGAGACACCTGCTGGGCAGGTGTGGATTTCCCAGACTACATCGCGGCCGCGGCCACATCCAGACGGGCGCCCCCTGGCGGCCTCTCCCGAGAGCCGGCAGAAAACCCAGGTAGCAAATCTGGCCTTCAAGGCTTGGTGGATTATAGCACCACTCACTGCCCTACCAGATCTACACTTGACGCAGTCCTTCTTTGCCGCCTTTGGGTGGGCGGTGCGTGCCTGAATATAGGGGCTGGGCTGAGGGCTACACAGACAGCCGCACAGAAGCTCCTGTGTGCAGAGGGGAGGGGCAGAGATGGGACCAGCTTCTGTCTCAGACACTGGCCTGGTGGGAGCAGAGAGCACAGAGCACGCTCGCTGGATCCCAGAACCAGAGCGGCGTGCGATCCTAACCTGCCGCGCCCCTTCCTTGCTGTGTGACTGTGGACACTTCACTTCTGTAAGCTTCAGTTTCCTCATCTGTACAAGGGAACTCCAGCCTTAACGGCAGAATCGATGAGGATTAAATGCCAAAGCATTTAGTTTGTACCCAGCATTAGAAAAGGCGCTTTTCTTCCCAAAGGCTGGATGTTACCTTTTTTTTTTTTTTTTTTTTTGTCTTTTTCCTTTTTACGGTACCAGGGTATTGAACTCACGACTGTCTGCTTGCAAGGCAGGCGCTTATGCTGCTGAGCTAAATCCCCAGCCCCTACCTTTTTGTTGTTGTTGTTTATATTATTTTTCAATTCAGCAAAATCCTTCTGCGGTTCCAAAGAGAATCTCTTGTGTTTCCCAGCAATCTCAGTGTGATGACATTTTTGTGAATCGCCCCAGTGTAAGACATTTTGAACACACAAAAATAGCTTAGTAAAATAAACCCGTGAGCCGCTCCCCTCCAAGTGCCCATCCTCCAGAATAAGTGCTCTATTCTTCACTGATTTCCTTCCTTCTTCAGGTTCCGACATCTCCAGCCGATTCCATTCTCTGACCCTCAGACACCATGACGGGCTTTCTGTGCTGGCCACTGGCTTTGTTGCTATTCTTTCTCCAGCCCTGGGAAACCCAGCTCCAGTCTACAGGTGAGCTGTGGCCCAGCCCTCACCAGCTGGAGGGGGGAGGGGGAGGAGGGGAGCGGAAGCAGCCAGGCCAGGCCTGCAGGGGAGAGAAAAACAAGGGTTTTTGAACATATGGCTGGGTTTGAGTTTCCCACTTCTCTTCTGTGGGTCTCCTCACCGGTAGGATGTGGCTTAGTTTTGGGTTGATGCAGGACAAGATATGCAGTGTTTGATTTTGAATTTTTTAATTGACGACAAGGAAATATCAACTTTCACATAAAAGTCTCGATTTGGGACTTCTCTTGAAAAATTCAAGGACTGCTAACATCCAGCCCATGTGATCATCTGGTGACATTTTGCAGGAGCTGCCCAGAGTAGAAGGGACATAGGCTTTTTCACTGTCCACAGTCCTAATCCAACCACTGCATTCATTCATTCTGCCTGCCTGGCTCCTATTGCTATCTGTACTTGGGACGTTTCCTCCTCGCTCCATCCTTAATAATAACACCTTCCTCCAATACCTCTCAGAGCTGTAGGTGCAGAACTTGTGAAAAGGCCTAGCCTGGGTTCTCAGCAATGCCGCATGAGTGAGGGTATCAAACTTGCGCTTGTCAGGTCAGCGTTGTAGGGGGCGCTGTGCTGTCTGGAGAGCATTTCTCTGGGAGAGAGTTTCTCTGGGCAAGAGGTGGGTTTTCCTAGGAGGTAAGGCTTTGTCGTCCTAACAATGTCCTCTGTGATGTACCCGGCAGGACCCAGGTGCCATACCGGGCCCCTGGATTTGGTTTTCGTGATTGACAGCTCCCGCAGCGTGCGCCCCTTTGAGTTCGAGACGATGCGGCAGTTCCTGGTGGGCCTCCTCCGCAGCCTGGACGTGGGGCGCAACGCCACGCGCGTTGGCGTGATCCAGTATTCGAGTCAAGTGCAGAGCGTCTTCCCGCTCAGAGCCTTCGCCCGCCGCGAGGACATGGAGCGTGCCATCCGCGACCTGGTCCCGCTAGCGCAGGGCACCATGACCGGCCTGGCGATCCAGTACGCCATGAACGTGGCCTTCAGCGAGGCCGAGGGCGCGCGCCCGCCGGAGGAGCGCGTGCCCCGCGTCGCGGTCATCGTCACGGACGGGCGGCCCCAAGACCGCGTGGCCGAGGTGGCCGCGCAAGCGCGCGCCCGCGGCATTGAAATTTACGCGGTCGGGGTGCAGCGGGCTGACGTGGGCTCCCTGCGCGCCATGGCGTCACCCCCACTGGACGAGCACGTCTTCCTCGTGGAATCCTTTGACCGTATCCAGGACTTTGGCCTGCAGTTCCAGGGGCGACTCTGCGGTGAGTTAAGGGGACGCCCTTTGGATTCCCCTCCGGGCAGGTCCAGCCTTACTCTGCCCACCAGGTGGAGTTGAGTCAGTCAAAGGTGTGCTCCGGACACCTTTTCTTAGGCTTGTAGACAAGGAGCGACATTTTTCTTGTCCTGCCCTACAGGACGAAGGGCTGCGATTTATCACAAGCTTAGTGTCAAACTCAAGACATGCCTGCAAAACTGGATCACCCTGCTGGGGGTTTATCTCAGCGGTGCAAATGCTTGCCTGGCAAGTGTGAGGTCGTGAGTTCGATTCCTCGTACCAAACAAACGACCAAACAAAACAAAAACAAAACCAAAACAAAACAAGACACTAGATCATCCTTACTCAAAGTTTAAAGCAGTCTGTTACAGAGGTCATGCCCCGCCCATCCGGGCATGGCGTCTCCTCACCTCAACTCTCCATAAACGCTGCAAGATCTGTGCTAGTCTCATTTTGTGTTATTTGGCCCACCGTAGTTTACACTTCTCCCTGAACCGTCCCTGGCCTTCTGTGGTCTTGCCCTACCCATGGGCACATCTAGTTCTGTGTCCCCGTTTGCACCCTAAGCCACAGGGACTGACACCCCACATACTTGAACGTGGTGCCTGCCTCTGACCCATCCCTACTCAGCTCTTTCGTGCTGGAGGCTTCTGCCCGTCTGTCCCCTGCTCATTCTAGTGCTGTGTGTGTCCTCAGGGAAGGACCCGTGTGCGGAGTGGGGACATGGCTGCCAGCACCAGTGTGTCAGTGCTCCGGGAACATTCTACTGTGCCTGCAACTCTGGTTACACACTAGCAGCAGATAAGAAGAGGTGTTTGGGTGAGAGCTATCCCTGCCCTGAAATCTCACTGCTCCTGAACCTTCTTTGGCTCCCCATTACTCTGGCAATACGTTTGGGAGGGTCTTTGCAAGTAAAAGCCCTTTTTCTTTTAGTTTATAGGTCTAAGACAGAGGAGGTCCTTTGTGGGACCAGGGCTAGGAATCTTGGTGTCCCTCTGCCCAGTTAAGTGTGTTCTCTACAGTCTTTTCTACTTCCTTTAAATCCAGTCTCCAAATCCAGTCTCCAAACTACCTTCCAAACTTGTTTCTGTCTCCCAGAAACATATTTGTTACTTAGCTACTACTGCTGGGATCTTCAGTTTCGTCGATCGCCCCTGACACACTGCTTATTTCCACTCATCTGGGCTGCCCTGGCTGCTTCCCCCTGCCCTGCAAATACTTCAAGGCCTGGCTCTTCACTTTTGTCTTCATCTTTGTCATCAAGCTATGGTGTATGATACCTTGCTTGTGCACTTTTGCGTGTGTGAGCGTCTACTTACTTCTGTGATTGTGTTTGCCACCATTTATTGAGTGCAAGGTTACTTATCAGGTATTGTGTTGGGAGCATTCCACGTACCATCTCTCAGCTTCACAGCAATCTGGAAAAAGATATCATGTGACCCCAATAACCAGATGACACCTGGGGTCAGCTTGTTTTTAGAAACTTGTGATTGGCTGGGAATGTAGCTCAGTGGCACAGCACCTGTTTGGCAAGCATGAGGCCCTGGGTTTGATTTCCTGTACCAAAAAAAAAAAAAAAAAAGAAATTTATGATTGACTTGAATTCTTATTTGATTATTATGAATATTCAACTTTCATTGCAAGATTTCCAGGAATTCACTAAAGGCTTACCTTCTGCTGCATTTATTAAAGTTATGAATATATATATATATATATATATATATATATTGAGATAGGGTCTTGCTGTGCATTTCAGGCTGGTCTTGAACTCACAGAGATCCTCCTGCCTCAGCCTACCTAGTGCTGAAATTATATGTGTGTGCTACTACGCCCAGCTATTCTAGGTGTATAAATCAGCCTGTTCTTTGGTTCACTCTTATGTAAATGTAAAATAGAAGGGTGTGCATGTGCATATGTCCATTCTACTAAAGACCAGAGTGGACAGAGATGTGAGTTGTACTTATAAAGTCAAAAATACCCATAAAAAAGAGAAAAAAAACATTATTTATAGTTGCATATTAGACACTTTTGTTCCGACAAGCCCTCAGTCATTTATTCATCTTTTACGGCATCTCTCATGCCCTCAGTTTTTCCCTCTGCTCCTATCTTTTTTCCAGGAATTCCAAATTCTCCCCCCAACACACACACATGGCAAGTCTTACCTTTCAGTCCCTATTTCCAGCTCAGCTCTAGGCTGTCTTTCCACGTCCAAACCCAGTCCAGCGTCTTCCTTTCTCAGAAGGGAGCTGTAAGTGGTAGTTGGTCTCTTCCATTATATTCCCATTCTGCAGATGGAAAAATAGACAGGCTCCGACAGGCTCTGATAGGCTCCTATAGGTAAAGTGGCCGTGCCTTGTCCTTCTCTGTCTTCTACAACTGCGGACTGTCATTCTTATTCCTAGTTCTGTAAAGAGCGTGCTGGCTCTGGAATGTGTCTAGGGTTTGAGTTGGAAGGATCATCTGGCCCTGGAGCAGGGAGACTTATAAATACAGAAATTACAGGTGCCTGGGTACCATTCCAGGCTAATTAATCAGGATCTTTGCAGTTGGGACCCAGCATATGTATTTTTAAAAAGCTCCTCAGGTGCTCACGCTGCTGGAGCTGAGAAGTACAGTCTTGGGCAAAGGCTGACCTTGTATCTTCTCAGCCATTGACCTATGCGCTGGAGGGACCCATGGCTGTGAGCACTACTGCATCAATTCCCCGGGCTCCTATTTCTGTCGTTGCCGAGTTGGATTTGTACTCCAGCAAGACCAGAGGAGCTGCAAGGGTGAGTTGGTAACTCCTCCATTCCTGTACCCACCAAAACCCTCCTCTCCAAACTAGCATCCTGGATTGAGGCCTCGGATGGCTCCAGTCAGAAGCAACATCTTGCTTTTTTTTTTTTCTTCGCCCAGTCTTTGACCATTGTAGCTTTGGGAATCACAGCTGTCAGCATGAATGTGTTAGCACCCTTGCAGGGCCCCAGTGCCACTGCTTGGCGGGCTATGACCTGCTGCAGGATGGGAAGAGTTGTCAGGGTAAAGAGGGGTCCTTTGCATTTGTGGGGAGGGGTAGGCACTCATGCTGGTGAGGTCCACCCTGACTTATCCTGCTGTGTCTCTCCTTTAAGTTAGGGACCTGTGCAATGGTGTAGACCATGGCTGTGAGTTCCAGTGTGTGAGCGAGGGCCTCTCCTACCGCTGCTTGTGCCCCGAGGGGCAGCAACTTCAGGCCGACGGCAAGACCTGCAATGGTGAGTGGTGGTGGGAGGGATTCTGTCTGTCCCTGCTCCGTTGCCCTCTTGCTGAGTACCCTGCTTTGGCCATGCTGTCATTTAGGGATGCGGTGTGAATATGTGTGCAGTCTGCTGAAGGGTGTGCTGTGCCGCCTCCGTTGCTTTCTCCCGACTCCTCTCTCCTGCTTATCCTCTACGCAGGGTTAATTTAAAAATCCATAGTTGATCACATTATTCCTTTGCTCAGAATCCTTCTGTAGCACACCAGTGACTCCACAGGAGAGATCAAATGTCTTATCCAGGAGTTTTTCGAATGGTGAACACAATCACATTAGTTGATAATGAACTCAAATTACTGGGTAAAAGCATTTTTAAAAAAAGAGTGGAAAGGAAAATGGTTTCCTGTTGATAGAAAGAGTATTATTGTTTCACAAAGCTCATGTAGTTATGTGTGAGCGTATGAAGTGCATCATATGTATATTATTATCTTTATTTTTTCACTGTGGATTGTGGTAAAAAATTATAAACTACATTATAAACTACCTTTTTAGCTCAGCACAACTGAGCTTCAGCCAACTTCTCAGCCTCTCCCTTCCCACACTTGAACATATTTATCATATTGACCCCTTCTTCAGTGTGTTGAGAGCTTGCCAGGACAGAGTTCTCCTGTTTGCTGTTTGCTGTTCTCCTCCGTGCCTTTGCACATGCTGCTCCTATTTTCTAGAATGTCTCTGCCTTCACATTCTCCTCATTACCCTTTAAGACATGACCAAGTACCATAGACTGATTTGCTATCTTTGTTTCATGTTGCTATAACAAAATACCTGAAACTGGGTGTTTTAGAAAGAAAAGTGAATTTATTTAGGTTATAGGTCTAGAGGCTCAAGAATATGGCATTGGGCTGGGGATTTAGCTCAACAGCATAAGCGCCTGCCTTGCAAGCATGAGGTTGTGAGTTCGATCCCCGGTACCAAAAAAAAAAAAAAAAAATGGCACTGGCATCTTTTTGGTTTCTAGTGAGGGCCCCATGGCCAAAGCATCATGAATTGGGAGCATGGGCAAGAATGGTAAGAGAGTGTATGGAAGAATCCATGGGATTGCCTTGTCTTATAACGGCCCATCACCATGGTAACTAATTCAGTCCCTTGGGACCTAACTCACCCCCTCAAGCTGCGCATGAAACCCTTCCTAGTGTGGCACCCTCAGGGCCTAATTACCTCCACTAGGCCTCACTGCTTAGAGGTTCCAATACCTTTCAATATTGTCACCCTGGGGCCCAAGCTTCCAGAGCATGAACTTTGGGAAAGAAGCCATACCCAAACCTTGGCAGGCGCTTGAACATTTACTTCTCAGAGTTCCAGACACTGAGATGTCCAAGAGTGATGTGCTGGCAGATACTGTGTCTGCTGAGCCCTGCCTTTGACTCAGTCTTTTCACTGTGCCCTCACATGAAGGGACAAACCAAGGTCCACCCTGCTAACCTCATCGAATTCTAACGAGCTTTCAGAGACTCTGCCTCCTAAGACTACCACAGTAGACGACAGGGTTCAGCATATGAATTTTGGGACACAGGGTATAGTCACTCGGTCCAAAACAAAGACCAAATCCAAAGTCATCATCTCCAGGCAGCCTTCTTCAAAAGCTCCAGGAAGAGTGATTACTACGTTAGGCTCCCTTCATGCCCCATTTAGGACCCTTTATCTGAAGCAGATGGCATGCCTGAATTCCTCATGGATCACGGATAGTTTCCTCATGAATCAGGACCAATCAAAGTTCCTGGCTCAGAAGAGAGTAGGCAACATTGTAGAGTGATTAGCAGCAGGGATTTTGGGGTCCGACAAACCTGGTGTGAAGTCCTGGCTCAGGCACTATTATCTATGGAATCTGAGATAATCACTTTAGCCTTCAGAACCTCAACTTGATAATTCTCAAGGTTACTGGGAGTATTGAGAAAATATACACAGCACCTGGCCCAGTGCCTGACACCTGGCAAGCCATCAGTGAATGCTTTTGTTAATGTTATTATTAATCTACAATGCTTAGAATTGTGTCTGATACATAGTAGATTGTTAGCTATAGTAGTTATTATTGCTGTTGGCTATTGAGGTTACTTAAGAAGAGAGGCTTTTAGCAGAATGGTTGGTTTGTGCTAAGCGCTCAATAAATGTCAAGGACTATCAAGCAGATATGATGATAAAGATTTCAATTTAGCATACAGCTGGGCACAGCAAGGGTTCAGTAAATGGCATCAGTTCTACAAAACGTGTTTGTAAATGAATGACTACATGAGTAGATGTCTATTGCTAGTCAAGGATCTGGCGTCTCTAACCAAACTTCCTTTGTCCAGCAGGGTGCCGGGAAGGACACGTGGACCTCGTTCTGCTAGTGGACGGCTCCAAGAGTGTCCGCCCGCAGAACTTCGAGCTGGTGAAGCGCTTTGTAAATCAGATCGTGGACTTCCTGGATGTGTCCCCCGAGGGCACGCGCATCGGGCTGGTACAGTTCTCCAGCCGCGTGCGCACAGAGTTCCCCCTGGGCCGCTATGGCACCGCGGCGGAGGTGAAGCAGGCAGTGCTGGCGGTGGAGTACATGGAGCGCGGCACCATGACGGGGCTGGCGCTGCGCCACATGGTGGAGCACAGTTTCTCCGAGGCGCAGGGCGCACGGCCCCGTGTCCTCAATGTGCCTCGAGTCGGCCTGGTTTTCACGGATGGCCGTTCCCAGGATGACATCTCCGTGTGGGCGGCACGCGCTAAGGAGGAAGGTGGGCTTGCACACTGCTGATTGGGCAGGGGTTGGGCTGGATGCGGGAGGGCAGCTTTCCTGAGGCTTCAGGAATCTTCTGGGTGTCCCTGGCCTGCAGGGATCGTCATGTTCGCTGTGGGTGTGGGCAAGGCAGTGGAGGAGGAGCTGCGAGAGATTGCCTCGGAGCCGGCTGAACTACACGTGTCCTACTCCCCGGACTTTAGCACCATGACACACCTACTGGAGAACCTCAAAGGCAGCATCTGTCCAGGTGAACACATCTCTCTAGGACTCCTGCTTTACCCTCATTACCCAATCTCTGGTAGCTCACCTCCTTACTCACGCCTGGTCACACTCTCCTTGTAGAGTTAGAGCTAGGGGCTGGACTCTCTAGACAGAGCCTTGTTCACTGGTGGTCTGTGCACCAGTGGCAGCAGGTTATCACCCAGTAGCTTGACAGAAAGCAAAACTGCCAGAGCTTCCGGACCTAATGATTCAGAATTTGTGCTTTACCAAGACCCTCAGGTGACTGTGATGCATATAAAAGTAAGCACTAGATTGGGCTACCTGTCTCCCAAATTAGTGGTGTTCAGAATAATTTGAGAGAACTTTCAAAGGCATAAAGTGGAGTCACAGCATATAACCTCTGGCTTCCTGGAATTTAACTTTATGGATTTGGGAGAGTAGCAGGAGTGTGTTTTAGGTCTAAAATGACATGTAGTTTTGGACAACATGGCCCACAAATGAAACCCATCGGCTTCATTTAGTTCTCGGCTGAGGGAAAAGGGACCAACTGTACCTGTGGAGGAGGAGGGGTCATTGACTCAGGTATTCTGTACCTTATAGGTGTTGCAGAAAGTTTCTTGGGGGTGATTTTTATGTAGGATCATTAGACTCTAACCCACATATAAGATGTGACACTTCTTTCAGGTCATCAGTCTCCACCTGACAAGAGTTTCAGCAGGGCAGGGCTGAGCCTGGCCACTCTGTGTATACATATGTCTGGATGTCCATACATCTCTCTCCTCTCCCTCTAGACCAATCCTAAGAATTAGCCAGGGTATTGCGAAGCTGGGGTTAGCTGTTCTTCCAGGGCCTTTCTTGTTCTGACTCTTGCATCTCCTATCGCGTGAGTTTGGAAAAATCCCTTAATCTGCACCCTAGCTTAACTTTCCTCTCTGGGTAGCGGGAGAAGGTACACCTGCCAAGATTACCTCCCACTCGAGAGCTGTGAGGGAAGTCTGGGGCCTGTGGTTGCAGTTCTCTACCAGCTGGCTGTATACCTCTAGGCAGACCTTCTTCTCTGACCCTTGTTTTCCACACCTGTAAAGTTAGAGGTCTTTATGGAACTTTTATTGATACCACCAACAGCCTGACATACAGCCGCATTAGGGGACTACAAGACAGATTGGCAGATAACCTTTAAATTATAATGGCACCTCCATAAAGGCAAAATGCTCCACATTGTGCTTATTACTTCACAGTCTGTAATACTGAAAGTGATATTCAACTACAGAATTTCAGTGAAGATACTGTCTAGCTAGGAGTCACCGTTACCTTATTTACTGATAAGAAAAACATGTCCAAAATGTAAATATAAGGCTCCCTTCCCCGCAGACATTGAAGTGCACAGGGTGAAAAGCTTTCTCAAGTATTAAAATGCATCAAAGCCACCTGGAGGGTTTTGTAAAACAACCTGCTGGGCTCCAAACTCAGATTTTCTGGGGGCTGTAGGTCTGAGGTGGGATTGGATGATTTGCATTTGTGATAAATTTCCAGGTGATGCTGCTAGTTGGAAGGCCACACTGTGTACCACTGGTTTCCTTGAAACATACTATGAAGTGTTTACTGGTGGTGGTGGTGGGGTTCTATATCTGTGCTTTCCAGTAAGACAGACAGTATAAAATAAAAATCGAGTTCTTCCGCTGAACCAGTCATATTTCAAGTGTTACATAGCCGCATGTGGCTTGTGGTTATCGCATTGGATAGGGCAGATGTAGAAGCATCACAGCACCACGTTTCATCCGGAAAGTGCACGCTGCTCTGGACTGTTGGTACCCAGTGTGGTCCACGGAGCTAAAGCAGTAGCGCCAGCAAGTGGGAGCTTACTGAAATCAGATTCCCAGCTTCTTCCCCATTCTGGATCAGAATCTGTCTTAGCAAGCGTCCCCTGACGATTCTGATGAGCATTAAGGTTTGAGAAACTCTCTTGGAAGTCATCGGATCCTCCCACCCACCAGTCTCGGGGCTCTGTATTCTCAATGCGTAGGAAAGGGGTTTGGCGAGGCTGAATGAGCTTCCCAGCTCCTTGCTCTCGGTTACTTGGCTGGGACTCAGCCCAAGCCTGTCTGAATCCAAAGCCCGTACATTCAACTCCGGGCCCAGTGGAGGTGACCCAGACGGCCGGTGCAAGGGCCAGCTGGGCCTCTCACAGTTGCTCAGTCTGTTCTCTGCCGGCAGAGGAGGGCATCGGCGCCGGGACAGAGCTTCGCAGCCCTTGCGAGTGTGAAAGCCTCGTCGAGTTCCAGGACCGCACGCTGGAGGCGCTGGAGAGCCTGACGCAGAACCATATCCTTTGGGGCTGCAGGCGCCGGCAGGGGGAGGCTGCAGGGACCTCAGCCTCGGCGGCTTCCTTAACCTCTCACTGGCCCAGGTGACCGCGCGCCTGGAGAACCTGGAGCACCAGCTGGCCAACCAGAAGTGAGGGCGCTCGTGGCCCGGACCCGGGCAGAGTCCCTGGGCTGGACTGTCGGGGAGGAGGCGCTGGCGGGCTCCCAGCGTGTGCTCGAGCTGGCCTTGCCTGGACCGGGAGCCGGACTTCAGGGACTAGGGGACGCGGGCGGCGTGCAGGGCCGGGCGACTGCTACACCCGCGCGCCCTCGCTGCGTGCTGCGCTCAGCTCTTTGTTGGATTTCTTTTTGTTTTCTTTTTCTTAAAAAAACAAAACAAAACTGGTTTTCACGGGGTCGTTTTTGGGCTTTGCTGCGCTGCCCGGGGAGGGGAGGCCAGACGGGCGCGCTCCGTGGCGCCCGGGTGGCGTCTCCTTGGAGAAAGGCTCATTGTGCAGGGGTCGGGCTGGGGAGCTGGGGACCCGGGCTACTTCCCCCCTCCTTGTTTGTTCAGCGGAGAACAGATGGCTTCTGATACAGGATGGGGGGGGTCCCAAGAGGAAGCCAAGGGGGTCTGAGCAAGTCTGCAACACCCCCCCCCCGCGCCCCCCGCCGGGTACCCAACGTATTCAACAGCTAACTGGAGCAGGCGCCCCCAGACGTGGCTCAAAAACTGTGGGGGAGTTAGCGCAAAAGTGGGAGGCAGTAATTGAACCCCTAAATGGACGAAGTGGAGGCAAACAGATGAGTTTTAGCGGGGCTTTATCTCCCTCCTGCAGTAGGCGAGAGAGAAGCAGGTATTAACCAGGATTCCAGCCGGCCTGTGGCTGTGCCTCTGTCGCACTGCCCTGCAAGAAACAAAACGTTGCTAATTTCTCGGTCAGGAAAGAGCACCAGCTGGTACCGTTCCTCAGGTGCATACAAGAAACTTCGAAGTTCAAAACACTTCCAGTTCTAGAGTGGTTTTAGGCAAATTACTGTGAATTTGTCTCCTCATTTATGAAACTGTTACCCTCAAGGGTAATGAGTCCTAGGAAATTCTTGTAAGGTATCTGGCAATGTGTGTGGTACATATCAGGCCCTCGGTTAATCATTCTTATTAATTATTAGCCATGGATCATTTTAGTAATAGCTAACATGTTTCACCTGGGACATTTTTTTTTAAGTGATTTGCAGGTGTAGTATTTTCACTGGATCTCATTTTGTGAGATTATTGCCTTTAAGCCAGGCGTGGTAGAGCACCTCTGTAATTCCAGCACTCTGGGAGGTTGAGGTAGGAGGACTGTAAGTTCGGTTCCCACCTGGGCAGTTTAGCAAGACTGCCTCAAAGTAAAAAATAAATTCAAAGGGTTGAAGATGTAGCTCAGTGTGAAGACTCTGGGTTCAATTCCTGGTACTGGGGGTAAAAAGTTAATTGTTTTTATCATTCCCATTTTTAGCTGCAGAAATGGAGGCATAAAAGCTAACTTTCCCAAAGTCACATAACTAGTAAGAAACCAAACCAGGATGTATTAATTTCCTATGAATGTTATAACAAATCACCACAAATAGGGGGTGTAAATATAACACAACACATTACCTTGTATTTCTGGGGGCCCGAAATCTAAGGCAGTGTTACATTCCTTCTGGAGGCATTTGTTTCCTTGTCTTTTCTGCTTCTGGAGGCTACCTGAATTCCTTGGCTTGTGGCCCCTCATCCCATCAACCTCTCCTTCCATGTCACATTCCTTTCTCAGACTATCACCATTTTGTTTCTGTCCCAGAAGGATCCTTGTGGATATATTGTGATGATGTGGATAATCACAGATAATTTTCCCATTTCAGATTTTCATGTAATGACATCTGCAGAGTCCCTTTTGCCATGAAAAGTGGCAGCCTTTTAAGGGTCAGGTTGTGGACATCTTTAGGGGGCATTCGTCTGCTCTGCACACAGGGCTGAAATCAGGTTCTGCCCAGCTTCTGCACCGGGCCCCTTGCTAGGCTGAGTGAAGAAGGAGACACCTGCTTGAGAAAACCCTTGAGTCAGGGGAGCTTGGGACAATGTCACCTCACTGTAACTAAGGTGGAAAGTGGAGGCTTCAGATAAGAGGATGGAACAATCGGCAGATAAGGGGAAAAATACAGCGGAAGATGATCTTTGAGCTAAACTGGAAACCATGGCTGGAATCTTAACAGGCAGCCATGAAAATCCTTCTACAGGTGAGTGAAGAATGTGTGTGTGGTCAGGAGTGACCTGAGTATGGATCGGGGGTATTTGAGGTCTTACCTGGACACGAGGGTCAGATGAGCTGATGTGCTGTGGATATCATGAACCTCACCCCGCTGAGGCCTAGAGGACAGAATGGGCTGCTCACATAGGGAGAAAACACCAGCTGGATCAGGGAAAAGCGTGGGGTCGGGGACATCAGACACTGAGCTGGCTGGGAGCATAGCCGGAGGGCAAAGGCCGCACTGCCTCCTTCCCTGCCCCTGGCCAGCGCTGCCTTCTCTGGCATTTTTCTCACCTGCTCTTCTCCTGCAATCTCATTATTGGCCACGGGGTGGCACACAGAGCTCTGATTTGGAACTGGGTCCCAGAGCTCCAGCAGGCATCTGGCCTCTGCTCTATAAAACTATCTTCTCTGTTTACTCCAAAAGTTTTAGGATAAAGAGCTCAGTGGGCCAGAGTGGGAATGAGGGAGACTCCAGGCTGGAGGTAGGTATGAGAGGACAGCCTGGTTCGCTCAAAACCAAGCCTGACCTTGAAGCGCTGGTGTTTGTTTATCTCATTTCAGAATGGGGGCTAACGTCAGCTTGGCCTCGGGTACCTTGTGGGGCCAGTGTGTCCCTCCTAAGGGTACTCCACTTTGAAAGAAGTCAGGGAGGAAGAGAGCAAAACGTGACCCAAAGCGAGAATTATTCATAAAGGGATATCAAAGTCAGCCAGGTTTATATTTAAATGTGCCAAACTTACCCTGTGTTTCAGGGACTGTGCACAGCTTTTCACCCTGTATCCCCCATGCCATTCTCAAGGCAATACTGTGACATTAGAGTCATCACTTTCATCTGATAGTGGGGGCAACTGAAGTCAGAGAGGGGATGGGAGGCGCCCGAAACCACGCAGCAAACTCCTTGATGTCCATTCAGAGTTCTTCCCTGAAAAGAAGGGTCAGAAACAGGGAGAATGTTTGGGTTGAAAGCAGGAAACTTCTCTTGATTCGGTACCAGCCATCTAGAGGCTGAGGGAGGGAGAGAGAGGATTTCAGGAAAGGCTGACATGAGCTTGGGTGTCTTTCCATCCCTGATTCGGCTGCATTACACAAGGCAGGAGGAGAAAGGGGTGAAGAACAGTTGGTGGGTGAACTGAGGGACAATATGATAACCTCAGTGGCTAGTGCTTGGGACAATTTCCCATCATTTATAGTGGTATAGGGGAATGAAACTCCCAACCTACTATGTCCGCGAGTTGTTGTTCTCTAAAGTTGAAGAATGAATATTAGGAACAATGGAGGTTAAAAGTAGAATATATTTATTGAGAAAAGAAAGCTTCTGTCTGAAGAGAGACAGAAGGAGTTCCAAATGGGTTGCCCAGGGCTCTGTTTTTTCCAGGGACTTTTATAGAATAAAACCATGGGTTCAAGGTGGGGAAAAACTGGGAACTCACAAGGCAGATGGGCAGGGGGTGGGACATAGCTATAGTTAGCCAATAAGATCAAACAGTTCAGGTAAGATTGATTACATAAGGGACAAATGGTGAAGCGAGTCACATAGGAAGCAAGTATTCTTAGAGCTGTGACCTTTCCCCTAGGGGGATGTGATAGTGCTCTCAGGGTGATAGGGTATTAATTAGACTATCAGTCTTTAGGTTGTGGATGCATTTGTTTGATCCTTTGTCTTGAGATCTGACCCACAGCAGGAGGTGGCTATCTCCTCCACAGTTGTACTGGCTCCTTTGAGGACCCAGCCCTGTCTCACTGTGTACAGTATTTCTAACTAACTCAACTGCCTGCAACAACAGGTCATCAGAGCTACTCAATTACTCTGGGAAGAACACAAAACAATGTGGCTATTGCTATCATATAGAAGGGGAAACTCAGGCTACCAAGAGAGAGTTAACTTGTTCAAGATTACGTGCCAAATTACGGTCAGTGCTGGGCCGGCCCCAGGCTTCTTGGTTCCCCGCCTGGGCTCTCCCTGCTCCACGTGGGCCACATCAGCAGCTGACCAGAGAGAAGGGGGCCTTTCTCACAGCTGAAACTTGGCCACACTTCGGCAGTTTCAGGTTGATTTCCAGGCAGAGGTTTGGATTGGAGACTTGGGGTACCAGAGGGCAGAGGGATCTGGTTAGAGTTAGGCTTGTGTCCTCCGAGGTTTCCTGGCTCCTCATATTGGTTGGCCTGTGGCTGATCCTGCCCCAGGCTCCATAGAGCTGGTGTGTGTGTGTGTGTGTGTGTGTGTGTGTGTGTGTGTGTGTGTGACTACTTCCCTTGGGAAATGCCCATGTTGGTTCCGCTCTATGCCTTCTCTTTTTGCCTGGCTCAGGCTCTGTTAATCTGATCCTCTGCTCAGTTAAAAGAAAACGAACCTCCTTTGTAAATAATACCCCTGAGTACCTCCTGTGCCAGGTCCTTTGCTGGAACTTCACCTCTATGATTTCCATTTGAGAAACACCTCAACCTTTCCCCATGGATTACCCAAATAAATGGACCCAAATAAATTGTGGGTCAGAATTGACACTGGTACGTTGGACATGGTGGTCCATCCCTGTAATCTCACTGCTCGGGAGGCTGAGGCAGGAGGATTGCTGCAAGTTCAAGGCCAGTCTGAACCGCTTAGTTCAGACTCAAAGAAAAAAAAAAAAAGAGTTGAAACTGGTATTTAACTTTATCAGAGAAGAGTACTGTGGCATTTATTTATTTATTTATATCAGAACTCAAACTCAGGACTGCATGCTTGCCAGGCAGGTGCTGTGCCACTGAGCTGTGTCCCTGGCCCAGTTCTGTGGCTTTCAGACAGGAAAGTAGGACCATATCCCCTCAATTTTGCCATCTTTGAAACAGAAGCTCTCATATTATTTCAAAAGAAATTTTAAAAAAATTTTTGATGCTTATTAATTGTACAAAATATTGTGTTTCACTGTGACACTTTTATACATACATATATCATTTGTCATATATCATCTCTATATCATCTTGATATATCATCTCTCCGACTAAGCTTTACATCTCCTCTCTCCATTTTCCTTATTCCATTTCTCTTATGTAATTACAGTCTTCCTTCTACTTCGTCTCATCTTTATTTGTTGGTATTTTGTTGTTTTAGATTTCAAATATTAGGGAAAAGTTGATACTCGCTTTCTAAGTCTGGA